GCAGGAGGGGAAGACCCTCTATGAGATGGATTGACTCGGTGACTGGGGTAATCGGGATGGGTGTGTCAGAGGCAGTGCGGGTGGCGCAGGATAGAGCAGGGTTTAGGGCAGTTGTGCATAGGGTCGCTATGAGTCGCAAACGACTCGATGGCACATAACAACAACAACAATCATGGGTTGGCAGAGAATGGACACACCTATTAGTTCAGAAGAAGGTCATCCGGAATACTCCTTAGAAGAGTGGGAAGACTTCATAGCATGTATTTTGTTTTGTTGGTTTGCGTATATTTGTTCATATTCATTGTGTTTTATTTATGTACATTATGTTTTATCCAATTGTTCATATACATTGCATTTTGTAGACTTAATTACTGTTGCTCAATGCCATTGTCACTGTGTCTCTTTGGGCATGCTTTCCAAAAAGACTAGCCCTTAGAGAGTCACATCCTGCTTTGCGAAGTGGAGAATTCATAAAAAGGAAGACCCTTGAAAGGATGGATTGGTTCAGTGATGGCAGCAATGGTCTCAGACATAGCTAGGATCGTGGAGATGTGGTGGCACTGGGAAGTGTTTCATTCTATTCTGTGTAGGGCCAATGGCTCCATGGTGCTTGATAACATCAATGCATTTCATTTATGTGAAGGAAGAAGGGAGCCAGTAGATGTAGAACATGTATTTATGTAGACAGCATAACTGATTCTGAAAATATACCTAATTTACTTTCTTCTTCAGTATTTCAATTCATTAGAAAATATTTTGCTGTTTTATGGAGGTTGAATTAACATACTATAGAAAGTGGTCATTTAAACTTTATAGTTTAGTGGTTTGTAATTATAATCAGCTCCAAAAGAAACCTAATATCCATTGGTAGTTATTTTTCCTTCCCCACACCCTCCTTGTCTAAGCAAGCTCTAATTTTCCTGTTTGTTCTAACTATTTCCAGTATATGGAATCACACAACATGGCGCCCTTCAAGCCTGACTTTCTTGATTTAGCAAATATTTTTAAGACTTATTCAGTTGTCACATATACCAATGTATTTCTTTTGATTGTTTCACAATGTTTCGTTTTAAGACTTTTTGTTTATCCTTCAGTGAATGGGCATGTGAGTTGTGGCCACTTTCTGACTGTTCTAAATACTACTGCAGTATTTTACACTTGTGTACACGTTTCATGTAGGTTTGAGGCATAATCTTGCTTCTCTTTGGTATCTATTTGGGAATGGAATTTCAAGATCAGATAATAATAACCACTTAACATGTTTCTTGATTCTGCTTTTTCATCCACAAGATTGAAATGAGAACATGTTTCTTGTATGATTTTTTTTATCAGAACCAAATGAAATGATTTCTCAAAAATACTATAAAGAACAGCACTAATTAAGCAGTTATTTGTTGAGTACCTGAAATGATTCAGTATTTCCAAATCTAACAGAACCTTCCAAACTTGTCATTAGCTTCCACTCTTAAATAACTGGAATCCCAAATAACTTTCCTTTTAAACTGGACCAAACCATTGCCATTGAGTAGATTTTGACTCATAAAGACACTTGGGAACAGATTAAACTTCCCCGTCAAAGAACTGCTTCATAGTCTCCTGTGAAGCAGCTGGTGAGTTTGAACCACTGACTTGCTAGTTCGCAGCTGAGTGCTTTAATACTATGTCACTAAGGCTCCTTACGGTTCCCCTTCAGCTACTCCAGTGGTAACTATGGACTTAAGGTGGAACCTTCCTTCCAAGATTCCTCTCATTTTAAATATAATCACGGTCTTAATTTTCATTTATATTTTGAATTGTTTTTATAAAAAAAAATTAATACTTGCTCATGTCACATCTTTCAATACATATCTTTTTATTGCCGAATCCCTTCTTACAAGGATTGAGAAGCAGTACGAGTGTGTTATGCAGTTTGAGTGTAATATGCAATGCCTTTGCACACATTAATTTTTTGAGCAATATCACCATCTTGTGGAATTCTAAAATAGCAGGAATACTGTTGTACACATCTGGTTGCTTTTTCACAACTATTGTCTTTGAGTCTTTGTTTTTATTTTGGTAGCAGTTACAGGAATTGTGGTCTGTTTTTATTGTGTCATAAGTGAGACGGAGAGAGAAAAGGAGACATTCTTACTATTGGGAGCAAAGGATTATTTGATAACATTACTCTGACATCACATTGGAACCAACTCCTCTCTCACCTCCGTGAACTTTGCAGAGGCTCCATGTAACACAGAAAGAAATTGCTCATCTTCCTCCACCAGAGCAGCTGATGATTTTGAACTCAGTGCCTTTGTGTTGGCGGTGCAAATCCTTACCCGCTGGGCCACCAGAGCTCTATTGCTTCCAGATCCCTGTTGTCCAAACTGAGGTCTGTGACCACTAGGGTTTTTCAGCTGACAATGAGGTGGAGAAAACAGTGCAGGTTTCCCTGCTTTTTCATTTTGTGTATTGATATTCTCTGTAAGATTTGACAGAAGACATTTTTTTTAAGTTGACCACACCTCATCAACAATGGGTTTAAGAACAGTAGAGATTGGGAAGGTGGCCCAGAGTGGAGCAGTATTCTTTCCTACTGTACAGTGTTCCTGACTTAAAGCCAGCTTCAGACATCTTAAAACATCAATAAATATGGTTTGAGGAAACAGCAGCGTTGTCAGGGACCATAGTAATTGCTGTCTTGTTGACCTTCAGCCTGTGTGGTAATGGTTTTAAAACATGACTGTACGTGAGGACCACCTGCAGAAGGGAGAAGGAGATGTGGGAGCGTGGAGGTACTGGGAGCATGGAGGTGCTGTGAATTGTGCTAGAATTCTCGCCTTCTCTGGGGAAGGCCTGGCTCAATCCTGACTCCCGCTTCTCTTGCACAGCCCACCACCTGCCTCTCAGGAGCTTGCATTTTGTGATGACACTAAACACATTTCAAAAGAGCTTCCAGACTACAGCAGACTAGCAAGAAGGACTTGGTTCACAGTTAATGAAAATCTATGGACCAAAGTGGTTTGATTTAAAACTGACCATGTAGATCTCACAGGATTGGACCATGTTTTCTTATGTTGTAGGGTTTGCCATGAGGTGGGGGCTGATTTGTGTGCGGCTGATGACAGCATCAACACAGAAGCATGAGACACACTCCAGAACTACTTAGTTTCTGGAAGAAACCTCAGAATCTTTATTAAAACAATCAAAACCCTTTCATGTTATTCTGGTGCGTGTGAGGTGATCCTGGCCTCCAGATGTCTCATTGCCGTTGATGGGGACGCAACTCATAGCTCTCCCTCAGGCGGTGAATCCCATGAGAGGAGATTGCCCCTCTTGCTTCCACAGAGGAGCTGGTGGATTTGAACCACTTGCCTTTGGTTTGGCAGTGCAACTCCTTACCCACTATGCCACCAGACCTCCTGTTGTTATCGTGTACCATCGAGTCAGAATCGCCTTATAGCTGACCCTCTAATAGCTTTTCAGAGCCAATATATCAAATTCCTTGAGAGGAGATTTCCCATTCTTCTGCAGGTCAGTTGGTAGATTTGAGCCTCACACCTTTGGGTTGGAAGAACAACTCCTTACCCACTACGCCACCAGTCCTCTTGTTGTTATGTACCATCGAGTCAGAACTTACATATCGCTGACTCTCCAGCAGGTTTTCAGAGGCTGTAAGTCAAATCACATAGGCGGATGTTGCCCATCTTTCTCTTCCAAATCAGCTGGTGGATTTGAACTGCACGCATTTGGGTTGGCGGTGCAACTCCTTACCGCTAAGCCACCAGGTTGTTGAGTATCATTGTTCCCTACTTTTCACAACAGCAAATGGTAAAGAGGCGCTTTGTGAGTGGGCGATACAAATGTCCATTTCTTGTTCAACATGCCTTGCTCTTGTCCCAGGTGGACGGCACAAACCTTCAGGGGTTCACTAACCAGCAAGCAGTGGAGGTGCTACGACACACAGGACAGACCGTGCACCTAACGCTGATGAGGAGAGGCGGCCCAAGGCAGGAAGATGAGCTCGCACCAGGAGAGGACAGCACAAAAGACGCGGTACCATCACCTTCCAACTCCAGCACGAGCAAAGGTAATGCCGGCATCACTGGATTGCAGCAGACCTTCGTGACATTTTTCTAGCTCTGTAGCAAGTGATTTGAATACTGGTTTGTACATTCAACTATTCATTAAGAATCCAGTGAAAAGGGAGAGAATATGAGAACTGAGGCACAAACTGAGATTTGTACACCAGTGTTTATAGCAGCATTAGTCACTCTTGCAAGAACATGGAAACAGTCCAAATGTCCAACCACAGATGAATAAATTGAGAAATTATGGCACATTCACACAATGGAATATTATGCAGCACGCAGGAGCAGTAACTGTAAATTATTACCTAACTTGGGAGGGACTGGAGAGCATTATGCTTAGTGAACTAACTCAGTCCCATAAGGATAAATATTGTATAATACTGTTATTTTAGAATGAGTATAAGGATCCAGGAAGGTGGGAGAGGCTGGAGGCAGAGGGATGTGGATGTGCAGGGGGAAGAGGGGATTAATCATTGGGTTGTACAATTTGATGGGGAGTGTGTGAGGGAAACGGAAAGAATTTGTTCAATTGTGTATTTGAATTTTGTAAATAAACTAATAGAAAAAAAAAGAATCCAGTGAAAAGGAAGTTGAATAAAGTTGAGAATGAAGTTGACAAGTTGGCATTAGAGTCCAGGAACCATAGAATGAGCTTGTGAATAAAGCAGTCTTCTTTCTACCTTGTTGATTCATCCTCCACGTCCCAATCAGTGCTTGCTGGCCTTTTACTCTTCTGTTGTCGCCATGTCCTTCCTGCGTGGAGGGGACCGAGTGCTGACTGGCTTGTTTATGTAGCTCCATGATTGAAATGCTCAGCCTTCAAGGGATGGAATTCAACTCCACAGTTAGCAATGCTGCTCATACATTGTATCTGAAGAGCTCTGCAAAGGGCGGCAGCTCTCAGCTAGCTCAGTGCATAAAGTTTGTTACTCATTAGTTCTCATTAACAATAGAACGTGTTCTTTTGTATATACATGGTTATTGAAGAGCTTATCACAAAAAAACCCCAAAAAACAACAGTTATCCAACCCATTAAACAAAATACAGTGGGATTAGGAAAATTTCAAGTGTTTGATAATATAAAAAAAGTGTAACAATTCAAATATTCTTGTCTTTAAGAAAATTATGAAAAAGAAGAGGATTCTTTATCTCTGAGGAGAAGCGCCAGCATTTTACCAATTGAAGAAGAACGTGAACACCAGGAAGCAGGTTGTTACACTTGTGTATCTTATTTTCAGGGGGAAATGACTATTACAGATGCGAATAAGTGTCCAGGCTGTAAAAATTGTCGAAAAATACCTTTCAGAAAAGAGATGCTTGGAATCTCTATTTTAAGATGTGATTACTTGCTTACATACACAACTAAAACATTTAGTTTATATCTGTTAGATTTTTATGTTTAATTAAGTGTTTTATTGCTTCTAAGTTTATTTGCTCAGGACCTTTTAGGAATCAGTTATGCACCTCATTGTTATCTGACCCTCTTATATACAGCCATCATCTCTCTCGTTTTCTTCAAGAAATAATCATGACAATGCTTTCTGAAATGTTTTCTCCCTCAGATAGAACCCAGCCTGCTTCAATCACTGCTGAGCAGTGAAAACAGCAAAATATGCAGGAGGTGGGGCTCTGAGCTGTTTACTTCTTTCTCCACCTGCATCAGCCCCTCAGATGCCCTGCCATCGAGGTTCAGACCTAAAAAGCCACCGCTTTCTGGGCAGCATTTAATTTTGAAGTGACCATGCTGATTTTTTTAACTAGACCTACCAGTTAATTTTATTACAGTTTACAATTTCATATTTCCTAAGGAGAAAAAGATACTATTTTATTAGTGTAAAGATTAAGAGACCTGTAAAATATTCTTGTAGTGGAACATTCTTTAATTTGCTTTAAAATAGAGGCAGGTATTGAGAAATTTTCATTTTAGAACATTCTTGAAATTTGAATGACTAAAGGGATATGAAAAATTAACTAAAAGAATGTTCCTAATAGAGATTTTAAAAAAACAACTTTTATGAGTGAAAAGTATGGAAATCTTTGAATATGACTTTAAAATTCTTACCATTTTCTTATTTCACCTAGTTTGCCTTCAGTATCTTTTCTTGGTGTGTTTAAGAATTTTCCTTTGTGAATTATTTATTGATTTCTAGTGGCTAGTTAATAGGGTCTTATTTATATGAGATTTTTATTTTCATTCACAATATCTTATTTATTTCATTTTTTTCACTTGGCACGTAGTTGTATATGTTATTTACTAATTTATTTCTTCATTTTATGGCTGAGACCTAACATGATAAATTGCCCCCTCTGTGAAACCAGATGAAAATAAGAGATTAACAGCAGTAGAGGTTGGCTTTCCCTTTTTAGTACAAAGTCACCAAAGCTGAGCCGCTTTGTCTTCGGCAGTTCGAATCCACCAGTAGCTCTGAGGGAGATACATGAATTATTTACTCTCATTGTAATATAACTTACACAGCAGTTACATCACAGGACAGTTAGATCAACTTCAGGAACTCAATAGAAGGTCACTGTGTGTTAGATTGAGTGAATGGAGGAGTGGCTTTGCTTAGGGTAAGACAGTGCATATCTTTTCATAAGGAAGGCGAAAGTAAGACAGACTCAACCAGATGGATTGACGAAGCGACTTCAGCAATGGACTTGATGCTGTCAGAGATGGTAAGGTTGACAGAAGGCAGGACAGTGTTCAGATCTGTTGTTAATCAGGCCGCTCTGAGTTGTACTTGAAGCAGTGATGACAGCAAGACAGTACAGGGATATTTCCAGTAAAATACTGCTACAATTTTTTTTCTTTTTAAATTTGATTACTTTTTGTGTGTGTACCATCAAATAGGATCTGACTGGTACAGGAGGAGATTGCCCCTCCTTCTCCAGCAGAGGATCTGGTGGATTTGAACTCTGGGATTGCAGAGGAAAAGTGTACCTCTGGGATTGCAGTGCAGCTTCTTGCTATTCGGCCACCAGAGCTCCCATAGAGGAAATTTCTTAAAAGAGAATTGTGTTTAATGTGTAAGCAATAGAGTTCTAAATTAACGAATACAAATCTAGACATCAGAGTGTCCATATAATGAATGAAGAGTCTCCTACACAGAAGTTCTTACTGCAGGTACCATCCTGTAGACTAAGAGAGATTTCATACTATGTCACTTACACAATCGTGTTGACTATTTCAGAATATCCATTACTTGCTTCTGAAATAGAAGAAATAGAAGATGAGAAAAAGCAGGAAGATGCTCTTTTGACAAAGTGGCAAAGGATTATGGGAATTAATTATGAAATAGTGGTAAGTTTATCTTCCCTCCTTCACTTCTTGAGTGTATGGAAGAAATTCATGATGATAAGAGTCCCAGAAAAGCAAAATGTTGGGCTTCTTTGGTAATTCTAAAAATGTTATGTCAAGGGTTAAAAATGTATCTTAGAATAAATTGAATGACTAATATAAATAGGGTAGAAATCTTAGTACGTATCACTCATGAATATTTTAACAATTTTACATATGGAGTGGTTATTTACTTGTAAATAAATGACAGATCTTAAAAAGAAAACAAAATTTAAAAAAATAAAGCAAAATTTATAATGATTAGCACATAGAATTGTACAGTAACATTTTCCCATCCATATTTGTCACTTTTATGTATTTGCTTTAGAAGTATAATTTTGTTTATTTTTTCATAGTCTTATTCTTTTGTCATGGTGAATGTGTGATGCTTATTCATAAATTACACATTGCAAAATGATCTCTCATAAAAAGAGATTGCACAAAGCTGACACGAATGATCAGTCTTCAGATGCACGACAGAAAAATTTCAGGAAATGTGAAAGATGAAATACTGGGTTGAGGAGAGCTTCTTCTCTTTCATCTGAGATTCAGCTACCTCTGGATTAGAAGAAGTAAAAGACAGTGAACAATGCTATGTTATGTTAATAATCGCTAGCATTTATTGAACTTTTTTTGAGCCATGCAGTGTGCCGAGTGTTTAATCCATACTCACTCATAAGAGCATTGTCTTATTTTACATCAAGATAGTTAACAATCAAGTAAGAATTAAGTGCATGTGTCATTACTATTTTAAATCAAGTCAGAGAGACATAAAGTTACACCAGCTTAACCCATGTTCACTGTAGAAATAGACTTGGAATTTCTTCCATGGGGTTGAATCGTTGTGTCTGGAATGCATGCATGAGAATGGCGTTCTTCAGGTGGTAACTGAGAAATGAGAGGGGTCCTGTCACTGGCCTTTTGATAACTTGCCCTTTCACTCAGACCCTGTCTTTGCAGCCCTTAGGGAGACCTGTAAGTTTCAAAAGCGCCATATAATTAAGAATGCTTGAACTTACTTACTTATTACTCCTGGTCAGACAAAGATAAGTAAGTTATAGGTATGATTTCAGGATGTTCATAGCAGAGTATTGCTCATAAAGAAACTCCTTCAAGAGACCAGGTCGTATAGATAAGGATGGGCGATTATTGTAAACAAGGACCTAAAGGTTTCTCAGAGGAAGTTCTGTGTAAGTTAAATGTTGAGGAGTGAGGGGTTTTATCCAACATCAAGATCTCCAAGTCAGATGATGTAAATTCTCATTTTCCCTCTATACACTGTACATCAGGATTTGAAAGGAATTCTCTTTGAAGCAAACTCTTGTCTTCCAGTTCTTCTTTGCCTCAGTTTCCTAGATTATAAAAATAGGAGAGTAAAGTAGTTGGTCTTTAATATCTCTTCTGATGTTAATTTTATAAGCCTTGAATTCTGTAGAGAAGTGAGTGGTTTCCTATCATCCTTTTTTTTTTTAAATGATTTTATTTTAGAAAGGGAGGCAGAGAGAGTGGCACATGTGGTCCAGCACGTTTCCTTGGCAAATCATAAATGCTGATTAAACAAGCATGTTTTCTGTACTGTTGTTTGAGATCAGGTCTTTGATTAAACCCAGGGTGGTTTTGAGTACCTTCCCTAAGTTCCTACCTGCAGCCAATGCCATGTCTTGGCTATTTGCAGCTGCTGGCTGCTACCTTTTCAGTTTGGATTGTTTCATGAGAACAAATAGACATCAGGATGTGTTCCTAGCTAAGTTCCAAAGCTTTGCAGCTTCTGATTAAGTTTTCAAAACTTCTAAGCAGGCTGACATGAGTAGATTAAAGAACAGGTGCAGAAGAATATTAAAACTGTTGGTGATTTTTCTCCTTTCAGGTGGCCCACGTGAGCAAGTTCAGTGAGAACAGTGGTTTGGGGATAAGTCTGGAAGCGACAGTGGGCCATCATTTTATCCGATCTGTTCTTCCAGAAGGACCTGTGGGTCACAGCAGGAAGCTGTTCAGTGGAGACGAGCTGTTGGAAGTAAGGAGCATTGCCTTTCTCTCTCTCAAGCTAAGTTTCTGAGAAGGCTACAGGATGTTTAATATGACAGATCAGTACATTCCTGTGTTAAGATCTCTTCTGAAGGCTACTTGAAGTAGGTCTGCAGACAGAAGTTCACACAAATAAGAAGTCTCAAATCTGAATATAACATAGTCTGCAGGCCTAATTTCACACTGTATCTTTTTCTGGGTGCTGTGAGGCCCCAGAAAATGATATATTTTTTAATACATTTTAAAGCATCTATTACATTTTTCTAATTAGCAATAAATGTTTTCATATGTGTCAAAAATAAAAAAAGAATTCAAAGATGCAAATTTTGTATGCTTACTACCTCTCAAGTGATAACTATTAATGATTTCTTGTGCATCCCTCAGTAGGTGACCATTGCTGTTCATTTCTTGTGCATTAAATGGAAAATTTAGTGCACAAATAAATTTTAATGTAATTATTTCCCTATTTTTAAAAATAAGTTTTAAAGTATCATGCTTTGCAATCTTCCATTTTCCTTTCTTCCTTGGAGAATTTTTTTTTTAATCACACTAATTTATTTACAAAATTCCAATATATTGTTTTCCAGAACAAATTCTTCCAAATTACCTCACCCCATCCCCCTGCACGTCCTCATTCCTCTATTTCCACCATCCCCCTGCCCCTTGGATCCTTATACTCATTCTACAATAACGGCTTTATGCAATAGTTGTCCTTGTGGGACCAATTTAGTTCACTCAACATAATGCTCTCCAGTCCCTCCCAAGTTAGGAAATAATTTTAAAAAATTATTGCTCCTGTATGCTGCATAGTATTCCATTGTGTGACTGTACCATAATTTCTCAGTCTTTATTTGATTATTCATTTCCAATATCCTACATTGGCAAACCACAATGAATGGAAGAAAGTCAGTGATTTTCTTGGGAGTACTCGAGGAAGTCCAACTCTTGCTTGGGTCTGAGCTGTTCCAGTTTAGTGCCATTAAATCTGAGTGTGATAGTCACCATTTAAAATTGAAGCTTGGTAAATGAAAAATTGATTTTGAATGAATATTCATGTTATGAGATAGTGTTCTTTCTTAGACAGTGTATATACTTTCTTCTCCCACAGGTGAATGGCATAACTTTGCTGGGGGAAAATCACCAGGATGTGGTCAATATTTTAAAGGAATTGCCCATCGAAGTGACAGTGGTGTGCTGTCGTCGAACTGTGCCACCCACCACCCACACAGAACAGGAGAGTCTGGACATCTGTGAAATTGAGCTGACAGAAAAGGTATCGGATTTCAGACACAAAGTTAATCTCAGTCTATAATGTAAAGGGTAAGGGGGTTACAGTATGTCAGAATCAACTCAAAGATCATTGCTTAGCTGATGTAAGTAGCATTTGAAATATTTCTTTAAGTTTGTGCTTTTCAAGGTTTTGTTTGGGGGTTTGGGGTTTGTCAGTTGACTTTCTCACGTAGTTCGTGACTTTTTCTTGTTGGATGGACCAGGAGGTCAGACACACCTAGACTGAATCTATCTGATGCTCCCTAGCCGTGCAACTCCTCTTCAGAACTCCAGTTTCTCCCCTGTGAAATGTCAGCAGTAATGTCTCCTGAAATAGATATGATGTCTATTTCACAGCATTCCTATGAAGTAGGCACTCATATATCATGCTCATTTTCTTTTCTTTCTTTAAGATTCAAATTATTAAAGATTTAATTTTGTTACAGTCAACACCAGGTAACAGCAGTCAAGAAATTAAAAAAAAAAAATTAAAAATTTAAAAAAGAACAAAACACAAAACAAAATCTGCTGCCAAAACCTCTTCAAAGTATTAAAGAGATTGTACTCATTTTTTTAGGGATAAAAATGCCAGATGTAAATAATAATTTGTAGTATACATTTGAGCCCTTGGGTGATACAAACAGTGAAACTCAACTGGCCAAAGGTTGGCTGTTTGAATCCAGCCAGAAGTACCTAGGAACGTGGGCCTGGTGATTTATTTCAAGAAGATCACAGTTTTTAAAACCTATGAACCAGTTTCATGGGACAGGATATTACGTGATTTTTAAACCACACAGTAACCCTTTGCTCTGTTTGAATAATGAAGAGATTGCACATGAGCACAGTTAAGTGTTCTAGAACTCTTCCCCCCCCCCATGATATACATACATGATTTATTATGATTCACAACATTGAATGCCTTTACATAGTCAGTAAAACATAGGTAGACATCTTTCTGTTATTCCTTGCTTTTAGCTAAGATTCACCCATTATCAGCAGTGATATCCCTTACTCCACATTCTCTCTGAATCAGACTTGAATTACTGGCAATTCCTCAAGGAGAAGCTGTTGCAGCCATTTATTTTTATTTTTATTATCTTACTTGCATGTGATTGTTGTTGTTGTTTACCTGTGAGTCAGAACTGACCCATAGTTTTGTGATAAAATGTGGAAATATTCTATGGAAAAACTACCACTTGTCTGCCAGTTTATCACATTATGGTGTCTTGTGTGTTACTCTGATGGAGAATATACCACTAGTATTTAAAATACTACCAAGGTTACTCATAGTGGACACATTTCAGCCTCAGGACTATTTTTTGTTTGTTTGTCTTTTTTTCTTACTGATTTGTATGCTGAAAAAATAATCTGAGAACCTGGCTTATGTGAAGTACGTGGCCTTAGGACTGGAGGAAGACTCATTAAGAGACTGCACTATGCAGATGACACAACTATGCTTGCTGAAAATGAAGAGAACTTGAAGCACTGACTGAATTATCAACAACTACAGCCTTCAACTACACCTCAACATCAAGAAAACAAAAATCCTCACAGGTAGACCAACAGGCAACATCATGATTGATAGAAAAAAATATTGAAAGTGTTGAAGATTTCATTTTATATTGAGTCCACAGTCAACTCCCATGGGAACAGCAGTGAAAAAAATCAAGTTTTGTTACATTGTGAAAATGTGCTGTCAAGGATTATTTATAGTGCTAAAAACAAAACTAAGATGTCTGCAAGCACTGGAAGGCGGTATGGCGCTTTCTCAAAAAGTTGCAAATAGAGACCCAGCAATTCCACTACTGGGAATATACCCCAAAGAGACCATAACTGACATTGAAGCAGATATATGCACACCCATGTTTATTGTGACTTTGTTCACAATAGCAAGGAGTTAGAAACAACCTAAGTGCCCATCAACAAACGAATGGACAGAGAAGCTGTGGTATAGTCACACAATGGAATACTGCGCTGCACTGAAAAACAAGGAACTTATGCAATATTATTCAAAATGGGTGACTCTGGAGGACATTATGTTGAGTGAAGTATCTCAGTCACAAAAGGACAAATACTGCATGCTGCCACTGTTGTAAAATAGGACTGACCTTGGGGTTGGGGAAAGACTGAGAAAGATGCGTTCAACAATGTATACTGCACTGAAACAGATGAGGGAGAAAACTGTTTAAAAGGGGTATGTGATTAGGTATTTTTGTCATGACAGGAGTCTAGAGCGAAGGCTACGTGGTGAAGTGGACCTGGGGGAGGGTTTGTAAAACAACGAAAGAATTTTTTTTTTACTTTTCCAAGAGGGTAGTGTACTGGGGGGGGAGGGTTGGGAGGGGAGGAAAGTGCAACAGTGAGTGAATGGAAATCTGAAGTCTCTGTAAATTTTTACTGAAATTAATACTAAATTTAAAACAAAACAAAACAAAACTAAGATGTCAGCTTTGAGACCTAATGAGTATCTGAAACAAGTCATGGTATTTTCAGTTGTTTCATATGCAAATGAAAGTTGGAAAGTGCTTGAGTTGTGGTGTTAGTGAAGAGTCTTGAATATACATGGACTGCAAAAGAAGACCGGTTTCCAAGGAAGAACAACCAAAGTGCACCGTAGAGTCAAAGGTGATAAGACTTACTTTGGTATGTTGTTAGGAAGCATCAATCCTTGGAAAAAAAAGACATGCTGTGGAAAATTGAGAGTCAGCCAAATAGAGGACGCTGTTAATGAACTTGATTGATTGATAATGGGGACCAATGCAGACTTGACCATGGCAGAGATTATGAGGAGGACACAGGATCAGACAGGTTTCTGACAGTTGTCTTCTGTTCAGCTTCACTGTGAGCTGTCATTGACTTAACAGCACTGAACAACAACCTGGTTTGTACTCTAGTCAGTGTCACCAAAGATATAATGAGAAGAGATGTTGTTTTTGCTGTGTACCGTCGAGCCAGAACCACATCATAGCTGACCCTTCAGTGGGTTTTTGGAGGCAGTTACTCTCACAGGAGGAGCGTGCCCATCTTTATTCCTTGGAGCAGGTGGTGGATTTGAACTGCGTGCCTCCAGGATTACAGCGCAGCATCTCGCCAGTACGCCTCCGGAACTAGAACGTGATTTATTTTCTGTTGAAAGGACCGACACGTGAAGATTATTTTGAAAGAAATTGAAGATTTAAAGTACAAAGTTTAATAACTACGGTAGTGATTAGGGTAGAATAAACGAAACATAATTAAAAATGAAAACAATCTCAAAAGCCAGCACTATATATAACTGTACATATATTTATGATGTATAAATGGGATTATTACAATATAACAGATGGCCAGATTTGCATCCATGGTCCTAGTTTATTCAGTAATTGATTAAAGACAAAGATAGCACACAAACTAGAATTTTATCACCATAAATACAGACTTCTTAAACTTAATATGTCTGTAGAGATGAAGAAAGTTGAATTAACCTAGATACATTTTCAATAATTTTTAGCAAAGGAAGCTAAAATTCTGAACATCTGCTTCTGTGTAAGTTACTTTATAAATTGCCCATTCTTCTCCCACAGAGTGGCTGGTGGCCTCGAACTACGTGCCTTTGGGATTGCAGTGCAGCTTCTTGCCACTAGGCCACCAGAGCTATTATATCCTTTAATCCTCAAAAATCATTTGAGTGGGTAATCATGAAATTTACTGCTCAAGGTAACACAGATCAGAAGTTTTAGTTACAGTTTTAAACCCAGGTACATTTGACTTCAGATACTATACTTGATCATTGTTATCGGTAATATATTATTTTCATAGTTATGGATGGGCAAAAATGCCAGGATTCCAGCACTCTAATTTACATAGCATGTAAGACTTCTGCATTTGGTTTCATGATTGAATCAATAAGCAACACTATGATAGATAAAAGATTGGAGTTGAAATAAAGAAATTGTGTTGCTTTGGGGAAATCTGTTATCAAGGATCTCTTCAACTTAAGAGCAAGAATGTCAGTTGAAAGACTGAGGTGTGCCTTTGCAAGCCATAATATTTTCAGTTGCTTCGTATACATTTGATAGTTGGAGAATGAATAAAGAAGAGATTTGATTCCTTTGACTTATGGTGCTGGAGAAGAGCGTTGAATAGAAGACCATTGACTATCAAAAGAACAAGACATATCTGTCTTGGAGGAAATGTCATCATAGAGCTCCTTAGATGCAAGGATAGTGAAATTTAATCTCATATTTTGAACATGTTGTAAGGAAGAGGCATGTCTTAGAAAAGGACATGCAGAGAAGGGCGAAGAGAGAGAGCTGAGGACCTTAAAAAGGATTGATTGACACAGGGACCAATGATGGACTTGATTATGATGGAGAAGCATAGGGCGAGATTCATCTCTGTGGTTTCTAGGGTTGGTTGCTATGAGTTGTAGGTTGCTCTGGTGATCTAGTGGTAAGAAGCTGCCCTGCCAACCCGAAGACATGCAGCTCAAGTTCACCAGTGGCTCCAAAGGAGAAAGATGGGCAGTTTCCTCTTGTGTGATTTACTGCCTCTCTAAACTGGCTGAGGGCTCAGCTCTTGGTTAGGTCTAACTCAAAGGTACATAACAACTAGGAGTCTTCCCTTGGTTTGTTCTTCCTATTTATCATAAAAATTATTTTTAGTTAACTGAAAATAACATTACATTTTATCTGCCTATAGTATTGTTCTCATACCAGTAAAAAATGTGCACATCTCCCATAATCACGCCACCTTTGTGTATTATCAGACCTGATCTGTGAACCATGCATTCTAAATGCCTGTTACTCTTTAGGTATTTCTTCCTGCTTAACAGCTTTCATTAATTACTACCTTAATTCCTAAAGGTGTCAAGATAAGCTGTAGTTCCTTTTACTCGAGCGTATTTTCCTCTGGACAGATGGCAGGAGTCTACCTTCCCTTGAAGTACTGGTATGTGTGTCTACTGATCTTGTACCTCTGAAATGAGAGCTGTCTGCTCTGTTTTCCAGCCCCACGTCGACCTCGGCGAGTTCATCGGGTCCTCGGAGACAGAGGATCCTGCTCTGGCCATGAGCGATGCGGGTCAGAACACGGAGGACGTTCAAGGACCGCTGGCCATGTGGGAGGCGGACATTCAGCACATAGATCTGGAAAAAGGACACAAGGGGCTTGGCTTTAGCATTTTAGATTACCAGGTAACTCTGTCTGCTTTTCAGCCATTTTCCTTCCAGAAAGATGCTATGATAAAAGCTTATTATTGATAGTAGAGAAAAAGATATTATTATAGAATGATTCATAAACACCAAAGACATTTACATGTTTTCTTTGTAGAGAATCTTTCAGAATAGTAATTTATACAATCTATTTGCTCCTTTGGGCTCTTTTAATCTTTATTAATTATTATATGTTTTATTAGTTCATTGTTATATATTTTAGCTTGGAAAACTACACACAATACACTTTAGGGGGTCACTTGATTTAGTCGTTTGAGGAGTGTGTTTAGACTCTTCTCCACGCTCTCATTTGATTGGTCAAATTAATGATGAAGGATAAAGTAGATACTTCCTTTGTCTGAAGTGTGTGGTAGCTTTGTACCTGAACACAGTAAAAATGCTAACATTCCCATCATTTTCGTAAATCTATGAATATGCTTTAAACTGGTCAGCGTGGCCCGTGTCCTTCCCAGGCGTCTTGCTCTGTGCCGAATAACCGAAGACTTCCGGCCCCATGTGACAGAGAGCAGCCGTTGCTCCTCATTACTTAATACTGAACCCGAAAGCTGTCTCTGGTGCCTCGAGGGAGTTGTAGTTTCCATAGGGCCTGATTCTGGAAGCTTGTCAGCTATTTAGATGGCTGTGTATCTGAAAAACACCACAGCACCAAAGACTATGTAGTCTCTCCCTTTGTCTGTGATTTCCATTGCAAAAGCAAGAGCCTGACCTCAGTTTGCATACATCAATGGTGAGTCGGTGTCCTACACAATAACAAAATTGCTCTTCTTAATGAATCTATTTGGCATACAGTTTCAGGTAAGCATGATAAAATTATAGCAATTTATATTAAAAATGAAATTGGAATGCTGCTCTGTTTAATGCAGGAGGGTATCTTTGATTGCCCCCAGTGAGGAGGATCTCTTTAAAAATTGTTTGAAATGGAGAGAACCTCTGGCCAGTTAATTCAGTGCACAAGTGTAGGTGGTGTGCTCTTGAGAAGCAAAATCTCACTTACTTTGGAAAGGCTGACAGGAGGGGCCTGTCTTTGAAAAATAACATCATGCTTGAAAATATGGAAGGCCAGGCGAAGAGAGGAAGGTTGGCTATGAAGAGGTGGATTGACACAGTGACTGTGACAGTGAGACACGGAGCTAGGCAGAGACCATGAGGAGAGCACAAGTTTCCAATTTGTTGCGCATAATGTTATTATGGGTCAGAAGTCATTTAATGACACCTAACAATAACAGCAGCAGCACGCGCGCACACACACACACACACACACACACACACACACACACACATTAAGAAGCCACGAAGAACATCTGTTCATCATAGACAACCTTAGAAGAGTTTATTGGACATGAAAGCAGGCTGATTCCATTTACTTTTCAACTCTTAGGATCCGGTTGATCCAGCCAGTACTGTGATTGTAATCCGCTCCTTGGTGCCTGGTGGTATTGCTGAGAGAGATGGACGCCTTCTTCCTGGGGACCGACTTATGTTTGTCAATGACATTAACTTGGAGAACAGTAGTCTTGAAGAGGCTGTCCAGGCCCTGAAGGGGGCACCCTCTGGAACTGTGAGAATAGGAGTGGCCAAACCTTTACCTGTGAGCATTTGGATTTTGTTGAACTCCTTTAATGTTTGCACATATTATGTCTGACACGTATATATTTGTTGTTTTTGTTGTGTACCATCAAGTTGAAACCTCCTCATAGCTGACCCTCCAGAGAGGTTTCAGAGAGGTACTTCTTCACACCAGAAGAGGTTGTCCTTCTTCCATGGAGCTGCTGGTGGATTTGAACCGTTTGCCTTTGAGATTGCAGACCACCAGAGCTCCCCAATATGGATTATATATTTAGGCCCAGGTATCATCGTGCATTAATCATGACTTTAGGTACTGTTCATCCACGTGATAATTGGCTACATGAATATTAAAATTTTAAGTAACATTTTAAAACCCACAAAACTATAGAGGAAACAAAACAGTTTTCGGGAAGTTCATTAACAATGGGAACTGAATTAGGTGTATAGTTGACTTTTGACATTTTTATTAGATGACAAAAATATCATACTTTCATCTACACGATTGAAGCAGAATCAAATGTTTTCAGAGAAAGAAGCATTACAGTTTGATACCAATGTAGTGCACAATTAGAGAAATGAGTATCATTAACAACTAAGAAGGGAATCTTTACTCTTTAGTTCCCTAGAATGGATTCTAAAATAAAGTAGGCTCTCCATTCAAGTATCTTAAGACGCCATATTTTATTGACTTCCACTTTTTCTCCTTCATTATTACAGAGCAGAAAATGGAATTTTCCAAAGTGACAACATGAGTATATGAGTCTCACCCAGGAAGAAAGTAGCCCCTTTATGTTGATTATTACTATGTTAAAGCACAAGAGCATTCATTTATTAGCTATAATGATTGCTCGGTGGCAGTTAAACATTAGAGAGTCTCAATATTTGTGAATGTTTTCAGTGCAGACATGTTTTTAAATGAAAAGACAAATACACCTTTTCTTAAACTCAAATAATTTAATTCAGTAGAGGTCAGATAAGGATTTGTTAACTTTCTGGAAGTTTGTTTGTTTTCAGAGACTAGGCTTTATTGATATGAATAAGATTTTGTCTACACATAATGCCTAATCATGTATTCTTCTCAGAGAGTTCTTCCCCTCATCTATTTCAGTGCAGTGTTTATTGTCTATCCACTCTTTTCCTATTCTCTCCTCAACCCACTCCCGTGTCAGTCCTACTTTATTCACGAAGCCTCTGAAAGTATTTGTGTAAGAGGAAAGAGATAAAGAATGCAGAGGGACATAGAGAGGAAGGAAGAGAAGGGAGAACACACGATTGACTGACCTGACTCATGTTCTGGGAAAGGCCTGGATAAGGATGTCACACTCACAAAATAGAGTCATCAGAAGAGAGTTAAGACTCTCAGTCTTTCTTCATTCTACTTTTGGAGAATGATCCAACTTGATCTTTGAGACAAAAAAGAAAAAAGATATTAAATGGAAGTAAGACCCTCAAGGAGATGAGTATATAAAGCCCCATATCTATTACTTAAAATGAGGTCCAACGTGCATTAAAGGGAGCTCTGGTGGCAATTCCAAGGCCCGTGGCTTGAATTCACCAGCTGGTCTGTGGAAGAAAATGTACAATTTACTTCCCTGTCATTTACTGTCTCTGCAAACCCTGTGGAGGATCAGCTATGAGTCCGTCTGAACTCAACAGTAACAATGAGCCCTAAGCTCACGCACCTAGGAAAAGCGAGTGAATGATGCTTTGTTTCTTAAACTTTTTCCATGTGTTGAAACGGTAAAGTGGCAAGATCCTGATTGAATTATTTTAGCCTGCTTTACCTGAGAGTGAAACAAAAAGGCCATGTGTTCTATTGATGTGATTAGTATTTAATATAGAAGTTCAGGATCCCAGTGTTCGGCGACTGTAGCTGTAGAGATGTTAAGAGCCTTCACTGTTCGGCACAGTAACACTTCATGTCAGGTTAATTGCATTCTTTAATATTCTTCTAAAGAATACCAGGGAGAAATTGATCCTTCTAAATTTTTAGTTCTACTCCACCTCTTTTTTTTCATGCCTCATCCTGTTAAAGCTGCCAGTTGCCATCAGATGATCTCATTGTTTTTCCTAGAATATTTGAAAGTTAAAAAAAGACCAGAGAACTATTCTACTATTTAAAAAGATTATTACTTTTCCTAATCTTTTCTAAAAAGGGTGGCAATGTAAGTAGAAAGGGATTCTCATCAGCTGATAATACTGGTAATGGATTGAATAAGCTCATTCCTTAACACGTTGAAATGTTAACTCTGAATAGCAGAGTTGATACAGTCTATTTTAATGTCATGTTGTATGAAACCTTCTTCCTTTGTCACTTCTCCTCACCTCTTCCCCGTCCCAACCTTTCTCTTCCTCCTCCTTCCTTGCTCTGTTTCTTCACCCTGCTCTCCACTCTGAGCATCCTTGTCCTTGCAGCTTTCACCGGAAGAAGGCTATGTTTCTGCTAAGGATGAGTCCTTTCTCTACCGACCACGCTCCTGCCAGGAGGAGGGCCTGGCCGACCGAGCCTTCTTCAGGGCTGACCTTGCTCTGGTTAGTGACCATGACTTTGTCACGCTTTCTTTCAGAACCTCTTAGTTTCATTTTGACTTTTCAAAACATTCCCCCCAAATCTTACTGTATTCTTTGTTCATTATATTTTGTAAAACTAGACATTTTCTCTCTAACTCCTAAAGTTCTCATGGTTGATAACAGGTAAAAACGAAAGTGTAATACATGTGGAGAACACTTGTTGGGTTTGTGGGGAGAACTCAACTGGCAAAGCCTTCTGTCAACGTGTAAAATTGGTCCTTGCTTTACTCTGTCACTGCCTCTGAGGCGATTCCAACTCATAAGAACCTTCCATTCAGCTTCTGAGGCTGTCAGTCTTAATGGGAAGAGACTGCCCATCTTTTTCCTGTAGAATGTCTGGTGGATTCCAACCTACATTGATGTGCAAACCTGTGGGGAACAGTACCCTGGGTACCAATTATGCCACTCCAGTTCTAAATCCTTATAAAATATTTGAAATTGCTAAAGAGCCCATTAAACCTCAAATTCCATATTTAGGTATCTCTCTCTCAAAAAAAAAAAAAATCAAAGGCACTGTTGTCAAGCTGGTTCCAGCTCATTGGGACCGTCCATCAGGTTTGCAGAGCTGTGAGCCCAAATGCGCAGAGATTCCATCTTTCTCTGGCAGAGTTACGGGTGGATTCAAGCTCCTGGTGGTGGTCGAGCTTTTAATTAATAGCACGGCACACTATGGACCACCCCGCAGAGCTCTATTGAAAGTCACACATCAGTTTCTTGGCTATTTTTCCAGTGGTGGTGGTGGTGTTGTTATGTGCCATCAAGTCACTTGCAACTCATAGCGACCCTATCTACAAGAGCCCTAAACCATCCTCTACCCTGTGCCAACCTCACTGTCTCCGACATACCTACTCCCACTACTCCAATCACTGAATCAGTCTATTTTATAAAGGGTCTTCCTCTGTCTTTTTCCAGTGTAAAAATGGGTGTATTTTTTATTAGACAGGAGTGGCATCCACTTCCTAAATAACATGTCTCTGGAAACCCTGTGAACTTCAATAAATGTTGATCTTTGTAGAGAGGCTTCAAGCCTTTTGTTCATAAGGTTGCTATGAGTCATGCTCAACTTGAAGGCAATCAATAACAACAACACAATTATTTATTAATAGTGTGGAAATCATAGAAACTGATTCAGTTGTTAATTAATACCCTCAGTGCCTCCAGAATAGATGTAATTCATCCTTACATAAATATATATATATGTAAATAACATGTAGTAGAGCAATTGATAATGAAATTCAGTTTCTGCTTGATAAATAATTTATTAAAAGAAATATATTTACAGCTTAGTAGAGGTCACTTTCTGGAACAGTGGTGGCACAGTGCTTAAAGAATTTGGTTGTTAAACAAAAAGTTTGTGTTTCAAACCTCCAAGTTCCTCTGTGGGAAAAGATAAGTCAGATTCCATAGAGATTTCTTCTTTTTTTTAAAATCTCTTAATTATGCCATTTAATAGATTGGGTAGAAGGAAACAATGCAAGCATTTTTTACCTGTATTTTATCTTTGTATGAGAGGGTAGGTCTCTGCTTGAATATTGGTTGAAAAGTTGTCTCAATCACCTCCTTTTCCTCTTCCACCTCCTTAGTGGTTTATAGCCTCAGAATTCTGGAGACAAGACAGCTCTGCTGTCCTTCAGGGTCGCTAGGAGTCAGCATCGTCTCAGCAGCCATTGGTTTTGTTTTTAGAGGTCTCTCTAAGGAGCCTGATGCCGCAATAAGGAGCTTTTCTCTAGAAATGCCTCAAGAAGTATTTTCCCTTCTGTATTGTATATTTTATATTGTTTTACATATAATGTATATGTTGTTGTTGTTGTTGTTTACCATGAAGTCAAAACCAACCCATAGCTGATCCTCTGGTGAATTTTCAGAGGCAGTTAATTGCCCGAGAGGAGACTGCCCATCCTTCTCCTGTGAAGCAGCTGGTGGCCGCAAACTGTGTACCTTCAGAATTGCAGTGTGCTTTCTTGCTTCATGGCTACCAGAGCTCCCTGTACATGTATATAGTATAGCTCCCTATAATGTATATAGTTACATATATTTTCTACAGTGCAGATTTTCTCTTGAGAGCTCTGTGACTTAGTGATAAGGAGGTACTGGTACCACCTCAAGGCTTACAGCTTAAATATATCCGTTGCTTCATGGCAGAAAGGTGGGCAGTGTCCTCCCAGGCAATTTACTGCCTCTGTAAAGCTGCTGGCGGATGAACAGTGAGTTGGTTCTTACTTCATGGTACAGAACACGTAATTTATATTGTTCCCTCAAACATTCCTTAGAAAATGCCAGTCAAATGCCAGTCAAAAAAGATTAATTCCACTGTTAATGGCTCAGGCATTATAATGTTATAATGCTGGTAGGTGTCCTGGATCTTCTCCCTAAGAAGCTACATAATTATGGACTAGTCAGTCAGCTTCTCTATGCAAATTTTCCAACAATACAGATGTCAAAACACTAACCTTAAGCAGGTAGGCCTCTGTCGTTGCTGAGTGCCAGAGCCACGCCGTTGCTGGCCCTCCAGCAGGTTTGCAGAGGCAGTTTTACACGAGAGTTGAGTGCACATCTTTCTCCTGTGAGCAACTGGTAGATTTGAACCGTATGGCTTTAGGTTGACGGTGCAGCTCCTTACCACTCAGCCACCAGAAACCCTGTAGTTAAGCCATTATTTTTAGCCATAATAATAGACTGAAACATACCATAATAATGAAGATTGCACCAAGTGTCATTTGTTTTGCTGTACATAATATCTCAAGAAACCGAGCTTTCTAATGGCAACCAAAAGTGTTGTTGTTATGTGCAGTCGAGTTGCTTGCGACTCATAGCAACCCTATGTACAACAGCCCTAAACTCTGCTCTGTCCTGTGCCAATCACATTGCCTCTGACACACCCATCCCGATTACCCCAGTCACTGAATCAATCCACCTCATAGAGGGCCTTCCGCTCCTGCGCTGTCCCTTCACCCTACCAAGCATGATGTCCCTCTCCAACGACCGGTCTCTCCTCACATGTCCAAAGTATGTTAGACAGAGCCTCAGAATCCTTGCCTCCAGGGAGCCACCCAGTTTAACCCTTTCCAGGATGAATCTGTTTTCCTAGCAGTTCATGGTATCCTCAATATTCTTCTGCAGTATCACAGCTCAAAGGCATCAATTCTCCTTCTATCCTCCTTAGTCACTGTCCAACTCTCTGATGCGTAACAAGTGATAGCAAAGACCATGGCCTGCATCAAACGCACCTTAGTCTCCAGAGACACACCATTGCTCTTCAGTACTCTGGAGAGGTCCCTAACAGCGGACTTTCCCATGGCAATACATCTTCTAATTTCCTGGCTGCTGGTGCTGAGAGTGTTGACTGTGGAGCCAAGCAAACTAAAGCTGTGAACAATCTCAGTCTCTTCACCATCCATCCTGATGCTGCCAATTGGTCCAGTGGTGAGAATCTTTGTCTTCTTGACATTGAGCCTCAATCCATGCAGGAGGCTGCAGTCCTTGACCTTCTGCAGCAAGTGCTTCAGGTCCTCCTCAGTTTCAGCAAGCAGGGCTGTGTCATCTACATAACGCAGATTGTTGATGAATCTTCCACCAATCTTGACCCCACAGTTCTCCTCATAGAGCCCAGCCTCCAGGATAATCTGTTCTTCATACAGGTTGAAAAGGGTATGGAGACAGGACACAACCAAAAGTAGTAGTTTGGTAATATCTCTTCAGCTTGGAGTCACGCATTTTTTTCCTGTGGATTTTGAGTGACCATCATCAAGTTCTACTGTAATTTGAATTGTTTGAAATTTAGTTAATAACTTATAGAAAAAATATTTTGCTTTAGTGATGTTGCTGTTGTCGATTGCTCTTGAGTTGAGCACGACTCCTAGTGACCCTGTGAACAAAAGGCCTGAAGCCTTTCTATAACTACTGACATTGATCAAAGTTCATAGAGGCATGTTGTTTAGGGGGTGGATGCCACTCCTGCTTCAAAGCTTTAGTGATACACATTGTCAAAGTAATTGTCCAGTTGCCTTCTTGAATGATTGTATTTAGTTAAAAAAGGAAAATCGATGACCTCCTTCACTTTATTATCAAATTCTGGGCATCAGGCAGGCAGTTTTTTAAAAACTTTATGACTTGGAAAAGAAAGTAAATAGTTTTCTTAAATGATGGAAGTGTTTAATTTCAAAACTGACCCAAGCTTTTGATTTAGTATTCATTCTAGTTCATAGAATTCATCCATCTTGGACCTCAGCGCCCAGCTGCCACCTATAGCCAGTCTCTCCTGTCCTGTTGCCTGAGTCAGCCTCTCATGTAATCAGGAAGGGGGTGAAAAACAACAGTGACGACCAGACAACATTTATAAAATAGAACAAAGAATTGCTTTAGAAAGAATGCCTGGTAACCTCAAGTAGAGGCTGTTGGTTGAATTCCATAGAATGGAATCCCCCTCTGACATTATTATTATTTTCATTCCCAGGTGGACACAAATGATGCTGACTTAGTGGATGAATCGACACTTGAGTCTCAGTATTCACCTGATAACGACAGTATCTACTCTACTCAGACTTCTGTTTTATCTCTTCATGGAAGTACTTGTAGCGATGGCCTGACCTATGGCACCTCTCTTGCTTCCTCTCCTCCCAAGGTACCATGGAAATATTATTTTATTTATGGTCAATTTTTTAAAAATAATTTTAATGAGCATTTACAGAGATTTTGGATTTCCGTTCATTCATTGCTGCACTTCTCTCCCTGCCCATCCCTTCCCTCCCCCCTCAGTTCGCTCCTCTCTTTCAAAAGTAAAAGAAACACTCCTTCCCTGGTACACAATCCCCCCGCACCCGTCCCACTGCCCCAAATACATTCCACTATGCAACCTCAATTGTGGACTCTTGTGATGTATGGTCAAATTTTGATGATAAAATTCCAGAAGTCAGTTTTAGATGGGGAGTTACCAGGTCTTATATAAAATTTGTTAATGTAAATTTGTATAGTACAGTACTTGTATCAATGTAACATTTCCTAGCCAAGTCTAACTTAATGCTTTCCCATGAAATAATGTAACAGAATACATAACAAACATAGTGAATGCAGAGTTTATGTCTGAATATTAATGAAGACTTAGTTACTATCTAGCTTTTTGGTAATCACTGGTGTTTTCAAGATACATTGTTGGCACAGATATCCCTATTCTATTGATTGTCTTGATAGTTTACTATGCCATTTTCAATAAGTAATATTTTAAAACCATTCTAAAGGGAACAGCCCTTAGAGAAAAACATCATTCTTGGCAAAGGATAGGGCCCCTAAAAGAGGAAAAGCCTCAACAAGATAGGTTGACACAGTGACCGTGAGAGTGGCCTCAAACACAGCAGTAGTTGTGAAGTTGGGCCAGGAGCTTGCAGTATTTCATCCTCTTGTGCATCAGATTCCTGTAAGGGGAATGAACCTGGTGACATCTAACAACCACCTCAGAAGCAGCGTGTGAAATAACTTTCTTTCTTTCTTTCTTTCTTTCTTTCTTTCTTTCTTTCTTTCTTTCTTTCTTTCTTTCTTTCTTTCTTTCTTTCTTTCTTTCTTTTTTTTCTACTAGTTCATTTACAAAATTTGAATACAAATTTGAACAAATTCTTTCAATTTCCTTCACCCTCCTACCCATCAACTTGTACAACCCAAAGATTAATCCCTCCTGGATCCTCATTCTACAATAATGGTTTTATACAAATTTATCCTTGTGGGACTGAGTTAGTTCTCTCAGTATAATGCTCCCCAGTCCCTCATCTTTCTATTTCATTTGAATTTCCTAATAAAAAGTGAAATGAAACACTTTTTCACAGATTAGCCATTTAGCTTTCACTTTCTTTGAATTCATCTCTTTGTATCTTTTCACTTGCCGTGAATTAACCCCTTCAGATCTTTGGTGTTTTTGTACTGATTTGTTGGAACTTTTAATATTATGTAGAAATGTATATATACAACAATGTCATTTTTTTTAAGGATAGCATGAGTGCAGGTGTGTAGACAGAAATTCTAAAATTATGTGTGAGTGATATATAGTTTTCAATTTCAAGATATAAGCTTGGAAATAAAGGTTTAAAGAGTTTTGCTGAACTAATAGAAGAATGGAGTTTTTTGGTTTTTGTTCATCTATGTTCGAAATGCTTGAGAGGGTAGAGGGGTGGCACAAGAGGAAAAATCCCTGGATGAGATGGATTGATTCAATCATTGGGGTGTAATGGGAGTAGCTGTGTCAGAGACAATAAGATTGGCACAGGATAGAGCAGGTTTTAGGGCTGTTGGACACAGGGCCACTATGAGTCACAGGCGACTCAATGGCACATAAAAACATGTTAGAAATACACCTAAAATTAACATTAATATAAAAAGAGAGTATTTTTTCAAATAGGAAGACATAATATATTTTTCACAAAACTGTAATTCAATGGAAAGGAGGTCTATATGTGTGTGTGTATGTGTGTGTGTGTGTGTATATATATATATATCTCTATCTGGACAATATGATAGCTGGAATTTTCCATCTATCACAGTGTCCTCCTTCATGGATTATCCGATAATTCAGGTAGGGAGCAAGAACGCCGTCAGAGCATTTTCTTTTATTCTCAAGGTGTACCTGTTACCCTTTCCAGTGATGCTGGGCCAGCTCCTGGCACTGGTTTGCAAGGTATTCTCTTGAATGGAGCAGCTGCTCTGGTCCCATCACACCTGAGCCTGCCCTCCTGGAATGTGCTCAGCATTTCCTGGCCTCAGGGCTGGAACCTGAATTCCTGTCCTAATGGACTCCGCTCATCCACAGGGCAGCCCTCCGCTTCCTGCCAGTGGGACAGATTGCATTGTTTAATTTAGTAATTGTTACTTAAAGGGACTACACAATCTGCATACTGAGAAGCAGATATTTTACAGGGCAAATGCTGGCTTTGTACAGCACAGCATATTGGCTTGCTGAAGTCTGTTTGCCTCCTGTATTCCCCCCCCCCTTTCCCTTTTAAGCAATTTACTCTTTTGTTGAAGCAAATTTTGGCAAACCAGCCTCATCCAATGAAACATTTATGCTACAAAACAACAAAGCCATAAATGAGGGCGTTGTAGTAACACATTGTAAAGCTCTCTGCCTCCAATGTTCTTCAAAAGTAAGATTCCTCTTGCATTGAGGCAAATCTCTGTAGTTTTTCTTCCTGTCACACCTGAGAACACTGGGATTCTCATAAGAAACTTTTTGGATCTATGAACTAAATAAAATAGGAAGCTCTGGTGGCTTGGTGGTAAGGAATTGTGCTGCCAGCCCAAAGTTAGGCAGTTCAAATCCACCAGCTGCTGTAGCAGAGAAAAATGGACAGTCACCCTTGACATTCACTCCCTCTGAAAACCCTGGAAGATCAGCTGTGAGTTGGTTCGGACTCAATGGTACATAACAACAACATGAACTAATCACACAAAAAAGATTTTTTTTCCTTTTTCTATGTACTAAAATGATTTTGTTTTTTAAAAAAAGGAGGGATAGCAGATAGTTATGGAAATAGAATTTTTCTGAAGAAAAAAGAGGCCACTTCCTTCAAGACTTTAATTGATCAAAAAATGTGTTATATTGTATTTAAGAAGTCAAACTTGGTTCTGTTTTGCTTTGAAAGGGGAGGAAAGTGGAGTGTGAAAATTTCAGGTGTTGCTCAGGTTTTTGCTAAATACATAATAACATTGTAGCCATAACTAGTGTCTGGAAATGGCTAAGTCACTTGCACCGCCAGACCTGCAGTTTGAATCTCCTGGCTGCTCCACGGGAGAAAGATGGGCAATGTCGTGTGATCTGTGCCTTCAAAAACCCGCTTGAGAGAGTCTGCTATGAGTTGTTTCCTCCCCTGCAGCAATGAGCAGAGCAGAATCCTCTCCTTGATGAGATGACCTTGACGTTTATTATATCTGCTAGCTGAGGTGGTGAGAATTATTTCCCCGGAACACAGACTCTTCTCATGAGGAAGCTTTGTTCTTCTGAGTTGTTTTGATTGTTCCTTTGCTCTCTTTTCCTCGTCACTTTCAAACAGATGAAAAATTGAAGAAAACAGTTGTTTTTCAAGTTTGAATGCATATAGGTTTGAATGCATATAAATACATGACTGTGGTGAAAAATGTAAATTTATTATTTTTACATTTTAATAGGTTCTGATTTGAATGAAAATTACAAAACAAATTCATTTTTCATTAAAGTTTTAGTACATAGAGCATTGTTCTTGTTGTTGCTGATTGCCTTCAAGTCAAGCACAACTCATAGCGATCCTGTGAACAAAAGGTCTGAAGCCCTCTACAACTCTCGACATTTATCAAAGTTCATAGAGTTTCCAGAGGCATGATATTTAGGAAGTGGATGCCACTCCTGCTTCCAAACCTGGCATACTATGTTATCGTTTTTTATGTGCCATTAAGTCATCTGCAATATATAGCAACCCTATGTACAACAGCTCTAAACCCTTCCCTGTCCTGAGCCAGTCCCACTAACTCCAACACACCAAGTCCATTGCCCAAGTTACTGTATCAGTCCATCTCGTCTGGGGTTATCCCTCTCCTGCGCTGTCTGTCCACTCTTCTGAACATATCTTTTTCCAGGGATACACCTCCCATCTGCTTTTAATGCTTCTTGAATCATTCAATATCCTGCCCATAGCATCCTTAAACATTGCAGCTCGTGGCTTGAATTTATTTTTTAGATTTTTTAGCTTAATAAATGCTGAGTGAGTTCAGCCCTTTTGATTTTCTGACCTAGCTCCTTGTATATTTCATGATAATGTTTTGTCTTGTTGTCTTGAACAGACCTTTGAAATCTTCTATTTAGCTCCTTAACTTCTTGATTGCTTCACTTCGCTTTGGCTTCTCAGCACTAGTGCAACAGAGTCTCTTCTGACATGCATTTTGGTCTTTTCTTCCTTCTTAGTAATGACTTTTTGCATTCTTCATGAAGGATATCTTCCCACAGCTTATTTGGTCTTCTTTCATTAGTGTTCAAGGTCTCAAACTTATTCCTGAGTTGGTTTTTAAATTAATGGGAGATAGACTCAAGGTCAAATTTTGATTCCTGTGGATATGATTTAACCTTCTTTAGTTTTAATTTAAACTTGCATATGAGCAGTTGATGGTCTGTTCCACAATCAGCACCTGGCCTAGTCTTTGCTGCTGATTCTGAACTTCTCCAAAGATTCCTTCCACAGATGTAATCACTCAGATGCCTGTGCATCCCAACAGGTGAAATCCATGTGTATAGTCTGTATTTATGATTTTTTATGAAAGGTACTTGCTCTGAATAAATCATTGATTACTGTATTTAATATTCAAGGGGTTAGAATAAACAACTGCTTAAAACGTTCTTGTCAATTGAAAACATGATTGTGACAGTATAAAACTATGGGTGGTTGAGGGTGCAAATGACGTTGCCATTTGTCTCAGTAGGTCTTGTGTAAGCACAATAAATAATGTGCTATTATTTCAGAGAGTAAGAAAATGAAAGAATATGAGTAAGTTGGAGCAGCCCTGCTTATAGTATTTTTCTTTTATAAGAAAAATAGTCCCTGGTAACTTAGACAACTCCATCTATGTCTACGGATTATTTACATTTTTAGCCTCGTTGCTGTGTGCAGTTGACTTAAAATTGACCCTAGCTGATCCGCTAATTGCTTTTCAGAGATAGTAAATAGAATGGGAGGACATTGTCCAGTCCCTTTGGGATTGTCGCACAGCTTCTTACCACTAGGCCACCAGAGCCTTGGTAAATATATGCTCAGGCTAAGTGGGAGTTCCCAGTATAAATGTCTTCATTACCTCGTGCTGCTGTAACAAGTGTGTCACAATGGGTGTGCCACAGAATGCTATTTTCTCATTGCTCTGAAGACTAAAATGTCTTAGAGGGTATTGCTCCTCTTGATTTTTTCCCCACATTGGTAGCCCTGGGCGTTTCTCAGTTCTTTGTAATTTCTTGGCTTATAAATGATCATCACACAGCATGTTCACACCCCTGTGAGTGACTCTGTGTCTGTATTGGCCTTTTTTATAATTCAGAAGTGTAGGCTTCACCCTACACGGTTATCAAAGTGAAAAGAACAGCACTCTTTCCAAATAAGATGACATCTACAGGTCCAGAACCAGAAACCCTACATGTATTATTGAAGGACACAGTTCGATCCATAGCTATACTTGTATATTGCACTTAAGAAATAAAGCTACTTTTAAGTATATTTAACATTTATTTGACCTCTCATCCATTTTTTTCCCTAACAGCAGTAATACATCAACTAGAGTCACATATTAATGAGAATTTTTAAAAGACTTAGATACCAAGTTGTGCTGGGAAGCTGTAGTTATTTTTGGACATCTTACGGGGGAAGAAGTACTTTTCATTTAGATACATAAGACTTTTAAAAATATAACTCAGTCAGTTGTTCGGCAACCAGAAACGTTTCTGTAGTAGGCGTATGTTGTCTGCTGTGCGGACCAACTCTTTATTTTCTGTGTGTTTGTGTTAACTCTTTCATGAATAATGCATGGAAATTTCTGTTACATGATTTACAGTAAACTCCAGTGCAGCAAGTGCTGCTTGACCTCTCTTTTTGTATTGAAAAGCAGTTTTGATTGTTATCTTTATTTGAGGCGTGGGGGAGATGATGATATGATGCTAATTAATAGAATGAATTTAGTAATACCGAAGCTGGCCAGTTCTCTAGTCAGGTTGTTGCTAATTTTCATAAGAATAAAATTATCAAAGTTGAGTAACTGTATATAGCAGTTATTGTTTATGTTTTGGGAGTATGACTTGTACCTTAATATAATTTATTCTTTTTAAAATCAAGATGTTACTTGCTTAGGTAATATGCCCACTTTCTTCACTCCTCTGTGCCAAGGATAGTTGATTATTTCCAGAAAGATGATAGCTTGCATTGAAGGAGGATAATACCCTAAATTATTGGAGCAATAGAGTATCCATTTAGAAAAACGCATAATCTCAAACAGCCTGCAGTAAATTCTAAAACATCTAATCTGAACACATTCATAAGATAGGGAGAAATACGGAAGCATTTTACTTACTTGGAGCAGAAGGAGGATGTATTAGGAAAGACCTATAGCCAGAAGCATGGAGCTGCATTCACAAGGAAGCTGCTGGTGTAGTGACTTACGTGCTGGGCTGCTAATGAGACGGTCAGCTGTTAAAATTCCCCGCAGTTCTGTGGGGCAGGGAGGGAGAGTCTCCTTGAGTATAGATTTATAGCTTTGGAAATTGAATGGAGGGTCCATCTGGGCCAGAATCTGCTTGACAACAGTGGAACATGACAAAATAGAGCATATACATGCACATTTAAAAGCTAAGGGACACTGGAAAGGATTCACAGCATATCTTTTTTTAAAAAATTTTTTAATGCAACATACACATTTTTTAAAAATAATTTTAATGAACATTTACAGAGATTTTGGATTTCCATTCATTCATTGCTGCACTTCTCTCCCCACCCAGCCCTCCCCCCCTCCCCAGTTAACATATACATTTTTAACAGCATATTCTTTCCATTTAATTTTTCCCGCATTCATTCATTTTTGTGCATTTTCCTCACTGCCCACCTCTCCCCCCAGTTCTTTTTTCTCTTTGAAGAAAAAAAAAATTCCTTCATTGTTATACAATCCCCCTCTGAACCCACAGTCCACTCTAATATGCATTTCTTTTTCTGTAATCTTGTCATGAAAATAATACCTAATCCTGTATTCCTTTTCAACAGTTCTCTCCCTTGCACCGCATATGTTATGAACAACTTCATGTTTATGGAAGCTAAAAGAGAAGAACTAGTGAAAATGACCTAAATACAAAGTATGATAAATTATGTGACTAGAATGTTTACAGAAGATAGAACCATCGTATGTCCTCACTAGGGTCAGAAACATGCAAAGAAAACACTAACGAATACACTTCTCCACAGGTCAGATTCCAAATTGACCTGTACATGGCAAGATAAATAATGGATATTTCCAAATTCCCATTTTGCAAGTAAAAATTGCAAGACAACTTGGCAGCATATAACAGTATTATAAGTGGGTCTGTCATTTTGCCTACAACTCCTAGTCTGAGAGTTTACACTAAAGAAATCTTTGTACAAATGCACAGAGGTGTTTACTAAAATACCAGCAGTGGCCAACACTTTAAAGCATTTATCTTTTTTAAGTTTTATTATTTTGTGCATGTGTACTGTCAAATCGGATCTGACTGGTACAGGAGATTGCCCCTCCTTTTCCAGCAGAGCATCTGGTGGATTCGAACTGCGTACCTCTGGGATTGCAGTGCAGTTTCTTGCCATTAGGCCACCAGAGCTCCCTAAAAACATTTTGTATTAATTCCATTGATGTGTGTCTCAGAGGTGGTAATCCCCTCAGGAATTCTAATCATTGCTGAGCCTCTTCAACATGGCAGCCCCATTTATGTCAAAGGAGACTCATTCTTCAGGGGTTTTCAAGGCTGTGACCCTTTGGACAGAGATTGCCAGGCCTGTCTTCTGAGTCTTCTTCTCGGTGGATTTACCCAGCAGTCTGGTGTCCAATCATCTCCGTCAGCCAGGGACTCTTTTGGTTTTTGTCATTTTCCACAATTTATAGATGAGCGCTTATGTGACCCATCAATACACATTTATCAGCAGAGCCAGAGTCTGAACCCAGAGATCTAAATCTGAGCCCAAACTACACTTTACTGCCTTTCATACTTAGAAAGACTGTAGCCAGGACAAGACCAGAGTTGGCTTTCACTTACTTGATATGGTTCTATGTAGGTTTAATGTGTATATGTGCTGCTGTGTGTATACTTGTCTGTCTGTCTGTCCTTCTATCAGTTGATATACAGTCCACTGCCAGCAGCTTGATTCTAACTCATGGTAAGGCTTTGTAAAACAGAACACAACGGCTTTCCTCTGTGTCCTCCTCACAGGTGCCAGCCTGTTCCCTCTCCTCACCGTGGCTCTTGAGCCAGCCCATTCCACGGTGAGGTCCCTGCCTTTCCCTCTGCATCATTACGTGCAGTGCCCTCCTCTCATCATCACGCCTGATGATCCATCCAGGGCAAGAAAGACATTCCATCTTTGTATTTCTTCTGTTTTATCTTTGACAATCTTTATGAGATTTTTCCTGAAATAACCGGAATTATATGGCTACCTATCCTTCCCCATAGACACCTCTAAAAAGCAATGTTCTCTTAGAAGTTCTTGGAAAACTGAATCAATAAATGCCCTAGTTTTTACCCTCCGAGGAACCCTATGATGTATTGTATAACACACTGAGCTGCTAACAGAAAGGTTGACATTTCAAATCCACCAGCTGCTTCATATGAGAATTATGGGCAGTTTTCTTAGTGATTTACAGCCACAGAAACCTGAGGAAAGGTTGGTTCCGTTCAAACTGACTCTGTGCTTTTTATGCTCCAGCGTTCCTTATAAATAGAAACCTTTTGAGAATGAGTGAAAATATCCTGGACTTCAAATTAGATTTATAAATAGGAATTATTTGCCTTACTCTGTAGGTTGAACTCTGAGCGATTTTTTTCACAGCTAGTAGATGCATCTTGGAAAGTAGGGTTATGAAGCTTTGTCTCTCATACTTTGGACATGTTGCAAGGAGGGATCAGTCCTTGGAGAGGGATGTCATGCTTGGGAGGGTGGAGGGACAGTGCAGGAGAAGACCCTCGATGAGATGGATTGATTCAGTGACTGGGGTAATGAGAGTGGGGTTGTCAGAGACAGTGAGATCGTGACAGGATAGAGCAGGGTTTAGGGCTGTTGTACATAGAGTTGCTGTGAGTCTCAGGCCCCAGCAACAATAAGTACATAGTATTTTATCTAGATCTTAAAAAAAAAATTATGCTATGCATATGTAAGTAAAATGACTTTCGGGAAGTGTTTTAAAATATTCATGAAAATAAAGGTAGTAAGTGGGAAATCTGCTAAGTGAAGAGGTTGCGTGGTTGTCGATCTTATTTGAGGACTGAATAATTATGTTTTAGTCAATGAGAAGTGGTTTTATGAAATACATTCATGTAATTGTAACCACAACTCTCCACTTTTAAAAATTCTTTCATCCTCAGGATGTTGCTGAAAACCCAGTGCTCGATTTGCATATGTCCTTGGAGGAACTGGACGCCCCTCACCTCCTGCAGCCACCAGAGGAGAGTGTGCCTTCTGCGGACTTGAGTCCAAGGCCTGCTTCTGGCTTCGTCTTAAATGATTACGTGCCTGCAAACGCTTTGGAGCAACAGTACCAGTGTGAAGACGCAGCAGCGTGGGCCGACTCGCAGCTGCCCAGCGAGGTTCTGGCAAGTTCAGAGCTGTTTTCCTCCATGCTCCCTGATTCCCCTGGAAAGGTAGCCCCCTCTGGGGAGGAGAAGGGTAACCCACTCTGGAGAGGCGGGTGCTGTGAAGCTGAAGAGTGTTCTCCTGCCCCTCACATTATCCACAGGCAACCTGTGAACTTGTTTGCGTTGTCGGTTCTTACTGAAAAAAGCACAGCCACTTAGAGAACATATGTGATGTTGAAATTATGCTCCAAAGTCCAGTTTCCCTTCCCATGTGACTTGCTTTTTCTTTCTATCAGGACTCTGAGTACTTACATGAACAGAACCCTCTGGTTTCCTCTACTGAGTGCGTCATGCTCCAAAATATATCCAAGGAATCATTTGAGAGGACTATTACTATAGCCAAAGGCAATTCTAGTCTAGGTAAGTGTATTATTTTCTGTGTGGAGCCATTCAGTCCTCTCCTAACTCAGAGAAAACATTGAACATGGAAATGGTTTTCCCTATTTCTCCCTGTAACTGAGAAACAGATGATAAATGATCTGCCTTTTGATAAACTAACTCATTTTCCAGAAATGGTTAAGAACTGTGTTTATTTCAGCCTACTTATTTTCCTACACTCTTAATTATTGGAAAATATTCACAAGTCTCATTTGCATTCAAGCAAAAGATCTATGAATTGTTTGTATATGAAACAGCGAATCAGAAAAGGAATTCTTCAAAAATGAAAAGTTAGCAATTTAGAATTCTAATTTCTTTGCAAAAGTAAATTATTAGTTTCTTTGAACATTACCCATTATGCAGAAGTCAGTTTGTATTTAATTTCCTTCATTCACTGAAATAAAGACTAAGCAGGCAGCCAGGTGTGCCAGCACCAAACTATAAATGCAAGTTATTCAGTCATTCTGCTCAGGTGACAGGAATTTTGTGTTCTCTCTCACCCATAAAATGGGGTGGTTGGTTAATCATGGAGCCTTCATAGAAGTATAATTCTAATTGAATAACTAAAAGTATCTAGAGGCTGGAGCTCTGGTGGCCTAGTGGCAAGAAGCTGCACTGCAATCCCAGAGGAACACGGTTCAAATCCACCAGATGCTCTGCCAGAGAAGGAGGCGCAATATCCTCCTGTACCAGTCAGATCTAATTTGACGGTACACGCACACAAAGTAATAAAAAATAAAAAAAGAAAAAAAAAAAGTATCTAGAGGCTGACACATCAGTGCTGTCACTGAGATAGGCCTGTTATGGCTCTGTCCCTAGTTGGTGCTGATAGACAGGAAGGTGTGTAACTTACTCCAGATGTCCTGAGACACAATACAAGAGGCGTAGATAACTCCATGTCAGAGATCCTATTCCTTCTCTGATGTAACCAAGAAAGGATACCAACACTAAGACTTATCACTTAGCCAATTTACTAATTTTTGACCTAAGTCGGTAATTAGTTCATTTTAAGAAATGCATATTGCTTAATGGAGTTACTTTGTAACACAACACTGGGAGCTCTGTTGGGAAAGTCTGCAGTTAGGGACCTCTCCAACGTACTGAAGAGCAATGCTGTCAGGTTGAAGACTAAGGTACACCTGATTCTGGCCATGATCTTCTCAATCACATGCTATGCTTCAGAGATGGACAATGAATAAAGATGGCAGAAGAAGAGTTGATGCTTTTGACCTGTGGTACTGGCGAAGAATACTGAATATCCCATGGACTGCCAAAAACCCCCCTCAAACAGATATGTCCTAGAAAGGGTATAGTCAGAGTGTTCCTTGGAGGCAAGGATGACTAAGCTTCATCTTTCATGCTTTGGACATGTAGCTAGGTAAGGCTGTTCTTGTAAAGGGACATCATGTATGTAAAGACCTCTGTCTTTGAAGGGTCAGTGAAGAAGGGGAAGACCCCCAGTGAGATGGGTTGTGACTTTAGCAATGTCTGTAGTGTCTCACGACGACCCCAGATAGAGCAGATTTCAGAATGGCTGGTCATAGGGTCACTAGGTATCATACTCAACTTGATAGCACCTAACAGCAGTAGCAACAAGGGCCTAGTATAGCACAATGGGATTCCCATTCTCCTCAACGTTCGCAGTCGTTTATAGTAATCCACATAGTCACATGTCTTTACATTGTCAATAAAACACAGATAGGCATTGTTCTGATATCGTCTACGCTCATCTAAGATCCATCTGACATCAGCAGTGATGCCCCTGGTGCCATGGCCTCTTCTAAACCCAGCTTGAAATTCTGACAGTTCCTTGTCAATGTACTGTTCCAGTCATTTTTAGACGATCTTCAGCAATATTTTGCTTGCATGTGCTATTCATGATATTATTCAATAATTTATACATTCTGTTGGATCAGCTTTGTTGGAAACGGGAGTAAATATTGATCTCTTCCAGTTTGTCAGTGAGGCATCTGCCCTCCAAAATTTCTGGCACAGACTGGTGAGCTCAAAATCTGTTGTTCATATGAAATCTATACCTAGACCAAGAAGCTGCTGTCTGAATGGGACAAGGAAACACTGCATGGTTAAAATCAGAAGGCATGCACGTCAGGGTTGCATCCTTTCTCCTTACCTATTCGGTCTGTATGCTGAGCAGATAATTTATTAAGCTGGACTCAGTGACAAAGAATGTAGCAAAAGGAATGGAAGAAGACTCATCAACAACCTGTGTTACATAGATGACACAGCCTTGCTTGCTGAAACTGAGGAGGACCCAAAACATTTATTGCAGAAGATAAAAATCTAGACGTTTCAAACTAGATTACAACTCAGTATCAGAAAAACAAATTTTCTTACCACTGGGCCAATGGGTAACATAATGATAGATGGGAAAAGGATTGAAATGGTCAATGAGTTCATCTTATTTGGAGCCATAATCAGCACTCTTGATGCCAGAAGCCAAATGATGAGTGAATACATTGCTTTGAGCAAGTCCACTGTCAGAGAATTCTCCAAAATATTTAAGAGCAATGATGCCAGTTTGCAGACTGAGGTGTAGCTGATTCAGGCAATGGTCTTTTTAATCACTTGCAGTGCATCTGAGAGTTGGACAATAAATAAGGATGGCAAAATAAGAATTGATGCTTTTGACTTATGGTGAATACTGAATATCTCATGGATTTCCATAAAAATGAATAGATATATCTTGGAGAAAGTGCATCAAGAGTGCTCCTTAGAGGCAAGGATGATGATGTTTGGCTCACATGTTATGGGAATATTGTTAGGAAAGGCCATTTCTTGGTGAAAGAGGGGAAGACCCCCCACAAAATGGATTGACACAGTGACTGCAGTAGCAATGGGCTCAAGTATATCAGAGATGATGAGGATAGGACAGGATTCAAGTTTCTTATTCATAGGGTCACTAAGAGTCATACTTACGTTTAACAGCAACAGTTTTCGGTAACAAGTTGCTAGTAACAAAGGCTAGTGGTTCAAATACTCCAGCTTCTCCAGAAGAGAAAGTTAGGCAATCTCCTCCTGTACGATACTGGCTCTGAAGGTTCAGTTAGGAATGGGCTCTGACTTGACATCAGTGAATTTGAGTTTCCTAACATGGGAAACTTTCTATTCATCTGAAAGTTGGATAATGACTATAGAAGACAGAAGAATTGAGTTATGTTGGAGAAGAGTATGGGACATCCCATAGACTGTCAAAAGGACACACAAATCCGTCTTGAAGAATGTACAACTAGGGTGCTTCTTAGCGGCAAGGATGTTGGTAAGGTAGAGAGTCATCAAAAGAGAGAAAGACCCTTCACAAGATATATTGACATAGTGACTGTAACAGTGGGCTCACTTATATCGGAGATGATGAGAGTGGCACAGGATAGAGGAGGGCAGGGTACAGATTTTCTGTTTATAGAGTGGCAGTGGTCATGGCCCACTCAACAGCACATAATAAAAACAACAGCATGGAAAAGAGAATGTTCTTAAGCGTCTCCAGGTGTTTGGTATTAGCTTACATTCTCAGTAAGTCTGGTTACCTTGTTCAGTAGCAGATCTCTAGTCAGGGAGAGATGTCCTAATTCTTGCCAAGACTGAACATAATGGTGATCTTGAGGATGGCATAAATGAAAGTGGGGTTTCGATTATTCTGAGTTGTAGTCCATTCAGTGGCATCTAACAGCAAACGAGGACTGATGGTCATCACATGTAATGAGAGACTGTCTTTTCATAAAGTTTTCATTCTTAGGCCTCATCTTTACTATCAGGCCTGTTACAAGAGTTTACAAATTATAGTCACAAGTGTATTACATTGCATTTTTCCATAATATTACTTGCAGGAGTGGCATCCACTTCCAAAATAGCTTGCCTCCAGAACTATGAAAGTAGAGAAACAGTAAAAGTTATACAAGCATTCAGGTCTTTTGTTCATAGGGTCGCTATGAGTCCTCTATGACTCAACGGCACCTAACAACAGCAACAACAATGTGTTAAAAGTGTATCATCTTGATTATTGTGAAGTTGTTGTTTGTTGTTATGTGCCATCAAGTCGCTTGCGACTCATAGCGACCCTGTGTACAACAGCCCTAAACCTTGCTGTCCTGTGCTAATCGCACTGTCTCTGACACACCCATCTCGATTACCTCAGTCACTGAATCAATCCACCTAATAGAGAGTCTTCCCCTCCTGTGTTGTCCCTCCACCCTTCCAAGCATGATGTCCCTCTCCAAGGACCGGTCCCTCCTTACAACATGTCCGGAGTATGTCAGACGAAGCCTCAGAATCCTTGCCTCCAAGGAGCAGCCTTGTTTAACCCTCTCCGGGATGAACATTTTACAGTGTTTATCTACAATATTCATTTTTGGTTGTTTGTTTGTCAGCTTATTCGTTTCTCAAACTCTGTTATTGATGTAGTCACATATTGCATATAAAATGAAATCATTCTTAAAAACAACCAAAACAGCCCAACTAAATCAATCTTTTCACTGACAGCTGTAAGGATATTTCATTTTTGTGGAGAAAAAAAAGTCATGCCAACAAATTCATCCTGGATTTGATACTTATTTGTATGTGATACATTAGTAATTACTTATAAAAGGAATTTACTTTTATTAAGTTAGCAATAAATTTTGTTCTTAATTTTTGTCAACTTGTATGTTCTGTTTTGAAAAACATTCTACAAATTAAGAGCTTGGAACTGGAGAAAGGGGGCTAATGATACTTTGTATCATACCAGGAAAATGATTGACCCATCAGGTTAAAGTAGGAAAGGGTCTCTTCATTTACTTAAGATATTAAGTCACTTAAGTGTCTAATTGCAGTACTGTATGTTTAACAATCAGACTGAGTGCAAAGTCTAAGTAACACTTATCAGTTAGATGGCTTCTTTCCATCATTTGGAATTGTTTATATCCCCCTGCCCCCAAATGATTCTGGCTTTATCCTGGCTAGAGACTTTTCTAGCACTTTGGAGTGAAATCTCTGTATGCCAAGGTGAGGCTGATACCTCTTTGGCAGGAGGTAGTTGAGGAGCCCCTACAAAGTAGTGGTTTACATGTTGGACAGCTAATCAAAAGGTTGGTAGTTCAAGTCTCTGCTCTGTTAAGATTTTAATCCAGAGAAATGTTGATGTGACTCAGAATTGAGTTCAGGGCAGTAGGTTTAAGGGAGTTGTGGTGGTGGTGATGAAGTTTGAGCTTCTTTGGCGCTTTGAATTCACCCTCAGCTCTTTGGGAGAAAGATCACACTCTCTTTCCATGAGAAACACAGTCTTGGAAACTAGATGGAAGACCAGATGTGACTTGGTGCCAACCCCATAGAAATGAGAAGGAAGAGTTGGGATGTGTTTGGTTTGGTTTTTGGTTCCAGAATCAGATTTCTGCAGTACATAGAGGAACTGAAAGGAGCCCTGGTGGTATGGTAGGCTAGGTGTCAGACTGCTAGCCAAAAGTTTGAATCCACTAACTGCTCCATGGGAGAAAGAACGTTTCCTTCACTGAGATTTACAGCTTCAGAAGCTCAGTCGAGAGTCACCGTAAGTCATTCCAACTCAGCAGCATTGAGTTTGGTTTTGGCTTTGGTGCAAGGATCTACAACATTTTAGAGTAACATATGATAAGAGTATACAGAGTCACTGTACTGAAAGGAGTTGTCAGACACAGAAGAATTTAATGAAACAACATATGAGCAAGAGCTTATGGTGATGAAAGAAGTTCAAGTTGCTTTGAAGGAAACGGCAAAAAATAAGGCCCCAGAAATTGATGGTATATCTATTGAAGTATTGCATCTAACAAATGCAACCCTAGATGTACTCACTAAGTCGTGTCAAGAAATCTGGAGGATAACCACTTGGCCAACTGACTGGAAAAGATCTATATTTGTTCCCATTCCAAAGAAAGGTGATCCAACAGTGTGGAAATTATTGAAAAATATCGTTGATATCACAGGCAAGCAAGATTCTCCTGAAGATTATCCAAAAATGACTAGAACAGCACATCAGCAGAGAACTGCCAGAAGTGCAAGCTGACTTTAGAAGGGGTCGTGGGACTAAGGACATTGTAGCTAATGTTAGATGGATCTTGGCTGAAAACAGGGAGTACCAGAGGAATGTCTATCTGCGTTTCATTGAATAATCTGCGTTTCATTGAATATGCAAAGGCGTTTGACTCTGTGGATCACAACAAACTGTGACTAACTCTGAGAAGAATGGAAGCTCTAGAATGTAATAGAATCTGAGCTCTGTCTATTTACACAAACACACGCGCGTGCGTGCAAATGTGCATTATATATAAAATATACATTATGTAACAAATGTAATGTGTGTGTTGTTGTGTACCTTCAAGTCAGAACTGACCCATAGCTGACCCTCCAGTTGGTTTTCAGAGGCAGTTAATCTCATGGGACGAGATTGCCCATCCTTCTGCCATGGAGGATGTAGTGGATCCGAACCATATGCCTTCAGGATTGCAGCACAATTTCTTGCTACTAGGCCCCCAGAGACATAAATATGTTTGTGTGTGTGTGTGTGTGTGTGTGTGTGTGTGTGTGTGTGTGTGTGGTTTGTGTATGTATGGATATGTAGTATATGTGTATATATATGTATATAATTACTTGGTACAGTAACATATATTCTACACTATCAGAGAGTAGACCTCCCCCGACCAAGCTTTCTGTGTCCTGGGCAGTAAGCAAATGATCTAAATTATACATATTCTGTAGTGCAGACCTATTTAATCTTAATATAGTGTATTTTCTCTCTCTAGAATTTCACATTTTAAAATTAACAATAATTTGTTGTCAGCAAAAAGTCCTTTCATTATTTTAAATTCAAATACTATTGCCTACAAAAGTCATTCTTAATATTTCATCTGTAAATCTATTGTTACTATTGAATCAAAATGAAAATGCATTTGAAATTCATGTACTCAGTTTGTACCTCTTCCCGTGTTCACCGTAGGGATGACAGTGAGTGCTCATAAGGAAGGCCTGGGGGTGATTGTGCGAAGCATTATTCATGGTGGAGCCATTAGTCGGGATGGCCGGGTCACCGTGGGCTCCTGCATCTTGTCCATTAATGAAGAATCGACCATCAACTTAACCAATGCCCAGGCACGAGCCATGTTGAGAAGACATTCTCTTATTGGGCCTGACATAAAGTAGGTATCGGTTGGATCCCAGTTTTTTAGGGGCCACTCAGTAATTTCAATTCATTTGTCTACTTTACCCTTCCCAGTATGTGATTCTGTTGCTTGAAACATGTTTACTACCAGTTCTTAGGAATGCAATTTTCTGAGTAGGTCTTGGTTGTCTTTTTAAAGACAGTAACAATGTTGAGAGTGGATTTCTGTTTTTAATTATATTTACCTTGCAATTTCTACAACAACCCATTACAACAATTGCTGCTGGGAAAAGTGGGTTTGTATTTCTATCATGTGAATAAAAGTTAAGCCAATGGTAGGAAGAGGTAAAGTCAAGCCTTGATAAACATTCTGCCAGGCATATCTTTCTTTTTTTTTTTTTGAGGCATATCTTTCTAATGGTTCTGGGGCTTCAGAAGCTGCTCTTGAACCAGCCCAGAGACAACTTTTTATGGACCAGAAAGTTTTATGGACCACTGAAGGTCCTATCCATAAGCTTTGGTTGGCATCAGTATGAGGCATTGGACACTAGGAGGTTCAATTCTGTGTATCCTAAAAGCAGGGAAGCTTTTTAAGGGCCTGGCATGAGAAAGAATCTTGAGAGCAATTCCAGTCTGACCAATGTATACCCTTTGTTGAACTAGCTTAAGACCCAGGGGGATTCATTAACATTTCAGCATTGACTGAGGAGAGCTCCCCAAGGATATTTTATAAGGAAATGTTTCAAATGCCCCATGATCCTATAATGCACTAAAAGCATGTCATATATGTGGTTTGGTTATTAAGTAAAAAACATTCCCTGAGCCATAATAAAAATAACCAATATTCATGACTCTGTTGCTGCACCTTGTCAGCATAATAGCTTGACTTTTTTCTTTAGCGTTCATCTCTGGATCTTTGCATTTAACATGTGTATAAGGGATATAACCATAGAGTAATAGCACACGGAAAGACTGTTTGCGTTAAATTTATAATGGTTGCTAGGTATGAGAGAATTTTAATATTAATATTATTTTACTGACTACATTCCTATCACTGGTTATTTGGGAAGGTATGCTGGGCTGGAGCTTAAGTAAGAAAAGCTGTATTTATGGTATGGTTTCAGTTCTGCCTTCAATTAAAAAAAAAGGCAGAAAATGGATAGTATCAGTTTTTGGAGTGGATTCCGCTGTCTCATACAAAGGAGGTGTTTTTAGGCAGAAACTTCGTTAATGGGTTTCATGTTCTTTTTTGCATACCTTTTTTACTTTGATGGTACAGTTGGTCACGTCATCAGGTGTGGTGACTGTTCCTAGCATCCCCCTAATGATGCAGGTACAAGCGAACATTGTTCAAAACGTCAGTGCCTCTATGCTGTGGAATAGGAGAAACCTCCTTCACCACTTAGGCTCTTTCCATCTGTTCAGATTAACGCCATATCCGCACGTGACCAGTTTTACAAGGCTTGTCTTTTGTAATGGGATCTGAGTGAAAGTTTACAAAGCAAATTGATTTTCCATTCACAAATTGACCCACATTTTGTTTCATAACATTATTTATAGGATTCGCAATGGAATCACCCTTTTCCCGTAATTCTCATTTCCACCAGTCCTTCTGTCCTTTTCCTTCTTGCTCCTGTCCTTTATTTTTTCTCAGTTGGTCCTCTTTTAACCTAACATGATTGACTATTCTAAGGACTGGGAGCTTCCTTGATAATTTTATTCATCTTGTAGGCCTGTCTGGTTGGACACCAGTAATCCGCATGGTTAAGTTTTGTTCCAGGTGTGAAGGAAGACTGTGAGCCCAAATCTCGGGGTTAGCCTCAGTCTCTTGCTGACCGGGAAGCCTGTCTCTTTTCTGTGATTTTGCGTTCTGTCCCACATGTCCCCCACCCTATCAAGGATATCCTCCCATGATCGTTTGATCATGATCACCAGGGTAACCTGTCACCATCTAATCCTTCAGTCTTAGGATCACAAAGTTGTGATTCACATGTTTAGTGAGTCATTTGGATTGATTGTTTCTATGCATCTTTGCCTTTTCTTCCCTCTTCACTTGAGCTGTTTATGTGTAATAGAAAGTGCAACAGGAATCTTGGTGGCACAGTCCCTTAAGTGTTGGACTCCTAATTGAAAAGTGGGCACTTAAACCCATCAAAGGCTCCTGAAGGGAGAGATGGGATAGTCTGCTTCCAGAAAGATCACCAGCTTCAGGAACTCTGGGAGCTACTTCTGTCCCTTGGAGTCACAGTGAATGGGAATTGACTTGATGTCAATGGACTTGCCTTTTGGGAAGACATCACTGTGGCTTAATTTGCTACCAAAGAAGATGAGTCTGTAAGACGAATCAAGTGTGGATGACCTAAGAGCTCGTCACCGACTTACTGTGATATATGTCTTATACTTTGGACATTCATGCAGGTGCCAGTCCAACTTTCAGGAACCCTTATTTGGAGACATACTGCCCTGTGCCAGCCTCACCCCTACGTTCTAATGACCAAAATGTTAGGCCAGATGACATCGATTTGGCATAAGTCACATATCTAGGCCTTTCCAAAATAGTTGTGAGATACATTTTGTTATCAAAATTAGAAATGTTTTTCTCCTTTCTCATATTCTCACCCTCAGATTTACTATCAGAATTTGCCTGTGCATGTGGGCAGAGTGAGGGATAATGTGAGAGCTGTTCTGATGAGTTACAGCTTCTTGAATTCAGCTGGCAAGCTAGATTGTGTGATTATATATGTAAAGAATCAAAGAAAGAAACCTATGCCTTTTCCTCTTCTGAAATCCATCCAGCAATCAATCAGTCAATCAATCAATCAACCGATCTCTTTCTTACACATTTCTGTATGGGTGTGTGCGCGCGCGCGCACGCACACACACACACACACACACACACACACACACCCCACACACGTTCATGAAACACATTTGTTTCTTCTCCAGTGTCCTATTAAAGCTCTGATTGCATATGTTTATAGAGTTCGAGTCACTAGATAAATGACAAAAGAAAAATCCTCAACATCATGTTTATTTAATCTTAGTGCAGAAAGACTATGTTAAGTGACAACAATGAAAAGAATCTGTCCTTTAGGTTGGCCAGGGCTGAAGAGAATTTGCCCTGGTCAACCTCGGCGAAGTGTTTTAGACCCTGTCCCCACCCTGTCGCTTTACTTAGAATCACCTTGAAAACTGTGAGTTATCCTCATAAAAGGATTGGCCAGCTCTTTTCTTATTCTGCATGGAAATGTAACATTGTCTTTGGCCAGTTGGGTTGCAAGGTCATTGCCTAGATGTCAGCACCATTCACATCTCTTTCTCTTTATGACTTGTGATAAACCCAGCTCAATCCAGGGCAGTCGTAGGGGGATAGGTGCATTGTAAGGGCTTAGACTAAGAGGCTAACTGGTTCACCTGCATAGCTGATTGGCTTTAGGAAAAGTATTGCCTGAATTGTCAAAATAAAGCTCTGGATCTCTTTATCCCATGAGGATAGCTTGCTAGCGACTTGGGGTGTGTGCTTTCATGCTTGCCTGGGTAGATAATTTGAGTGTCCAGAGTTCAAGAACAGGCAGTTTAAGTTCCAGGCTTCATTATTTCTATGGAAAACCAGATGTGAAGCCTCACCAGAATGCATTCTGTGTCACTCCTCACTCCACCTTGCCAGGAGCTCCTTCCATCTCTGTAATAATAGCCAGGCTTTTGTGGTTAGCAGCAGCTGCTTGCAACATCTGCCACATAATTACTGAGCTGAATCAGAATTCACCTGCCTGAACCCAAAGTGTGGGATGAATTCCTGATCAAGGAATAAAAGATTGATTGCAGTTACATTTTTCCCCCATGCTTGTTAATAATCACTGCTATAGACACCAGCAAAGAGCAGATGCTTTTCTGGGGGAGGTGTAGATGGGAGGGAGGTAGAAAAGCCGGGGGGAACCAAGCAGGAGCACCCACTCTTAAATGCATCTGTATGCGTGTCACATTCAGCACAAGACATTGACATTTGTTAGCTAACACCCCTTTACAAAGATGCCGCGGTGCATGCCTCACCTTCTGCACTGTCTGCAGCACCTGCTGACGCCCGAGCTCCTTTTTGTGTGTAAGTGTCGGTGATTCAGAAGCTCATCACGGCAGGATGTTGCAACTTGTCTGTGAAAACCATTCTGTGCTTTTGTAACCTCCCCATCCAGAGATGAGCCGGAGATAGAGACGCCGTATGTAGCGTGGCTTTGACAGAGTCATTTCCAGCAGACCCGCAGGAGTAGTACATTTTCACACTGAACTGATGATTGTAAGCTCGTTTGAAGGTTGTGTTTTCCACCCACTAAGCTTTAAACCTCCCTTGTCAGGGGAGCTCCTGCCTGCACATGTGCGTGCAATCTCTGGATGAATATCTCCGGCACATTTCGGTGCCACTAATAGTGTTCTTTCCTCCTTGCACTGCACGTGACCGCGAAGTTCATTTACTTTTCAGTATTTTTAATACAGCTCTCACGTAAGCTGTTCTCCATGTGTGTACACATCGCAGGGTGCAGTGTGGGCAGTCGGCTGGGTCTTCTAGGACTTGCTGTGGTGTGCGATCAGGTGTGAGTTGGAATTGCCCACAGTGTCTTGTGGCCTTGTGGGAGGATTGTTCTGTGGTCTCAACTTTGAGGTAAAACAAATATTTATGGAAATTTGTTTTTCTGGCTCTTTCTCATACACCTGAAGTATCAGAATAAAAATATTTTCATAGTACCTTCTACTTTTAGTAAAAAGAACCCAGCTTTGTGCAAATACAGGAAACACCTCATTGCTAACATTGGCTGGGAAAAAACCCCCCATTTTTTCTTTCTCAAATTTATGGAAAATGGAAATGTTTATAGTGATTATGACTTCTTGCTGTGGTGCTTTGGCTCCCAATTTGCCTTTTCTTACCTTTGTCGGTTTATTTATTTTCAGTTGATGATATCTTACCTGAATCTTCAGAAATACCATCAGTTTTTCAGGGTTTTAGTTTAACTTGTATTTTTCTTTGTGTAAAGTATCTTCTTTGCTGATATTTTTCACTTGGTCAGATTCATTTCCAAGGCATAAAGGTGAATTTACTACTTACCTTTTTTAAAAAAAAATTCACATATTTTTGAAACATCTTCTAGAAGATCTCTTCAGAGCGGTGGTATCTTTAGACGGGGACTGGAGTGACTCAGCCAGCCAGCCTACCCTCTGCCGCCCTCTGTGTGCTTTCTGCAGCAGTTTTCCCACTGAGCATGCTCAAGAGAGCTCCACAGAGTTGGCGTGACCAGGTGTGACAGGAGTGAAGACGTCTGGGGAGAGTGTGTGCGCTTCTCAGCTGACACGAGCCCCTTACAGAGTGACGTCTTTTTGTGACTGAAGAGGTGATGGCTCAGTGGTGACGAGTTCTTTTCTCTTCATCCTCCTGATGGACACCAGTCATGTCTTCTCGCTCCAAACCTCTGTGACCTCACCAACTGACTGTGTTTCTTCTGTCTTTCCAACTCAAGAAATGACGCCGATGGCATATCTTTATAGCATGAAAGGCATTATTTTTAGCTCTGTCCTCTAGAGCTACACTTTTAAATACTATCTTAATGGATAACCTATCTGGGTAGGTGGGTTAGTAATCTTCCTGATTTCTATATTGTGTATTTCTGAGACATATGTTTTAGTTAAATGTTCCTAACTGAATTCAGATACTTTGGTTTTGCTTACTTTAATTTGATAGTATTGGAATAGTCTACTTGAAAACATATATAATCTATGTTCAAAACATATATAATCTATGTTCAAAGTTTTATAGGATAGAAAATGGCTGTATTTTAAAATGTCAATGTCTAACCATTATTTTGATAATCAGCATTGTGTTGTCATAATACACATCCAGCCAGACTTGTTGAATTAGTAAATAGTCACTCGGGTAAAAAAAGTACAGATTTTTCTCTTTCTGAAACCAAAGTATAAGTGTAAGAAATAGGTACAAATTAGTAAGAGAGACTTTCCGTGAACTTTAAATGGTTTGATTTCAGAATTGGAGCTAAAACGTAATGATTAGTAATGCTTGGTAGTGTCTAAAATTAATAATAGATTGTGGACAGATATAAACTAATATTGGACAGCCAGTATTTTTGTAAAGTGCATGGAATTTGTTTCTGTTAGAGAATTAAGAAAGATTTGGTCAAAATTTATATTTTTGAAAACAGTGACAGTAAAGATTTCTAAATCTTCCTTTTTTTAAAAAAAAAATAAGTGTTAGCCTTTCACTTAGAAATATAAATAATGGTGTTCTGCTAAGTACCTAACATAATTATGTACCTAACCTAATTATGTTGCTAAAGAGAACTCATTGCTATGAACTAAGCACCTGATTTGAAATTGACTTTCCAATGGATTTCTGAAGGCTGTGAATTGCTTGAGAAGAGATTGCCAGTCTTTCTCCGTCAGAGCAGCTGGTGGATTCAAACCTCCAATAAGGGGATTTTTTTTTACTTTTGTGTGAGCAGCGCTGCTCCCTATTTCTTGTGTCTCCTGCGCTCCTAACGTACCAGTGGCGTTACATAAAGTGTAATTGTTGTTGTCACTCTTGAGTGTGGAATATTTTGCAGATGGAATAGAATTTATTCCTTTGAAATCTGGGTTCTCTGCGGAGTGACTGTACTGGTGTGGGAGGAAGTCAAGGGGACAAGTCCATCTGCTTTGGGAGGTTTTCCAAGCCAGCAAAACTCCACTCTTCCTGACTCTCATGGATTGTGTCCTGTTCCAGGATCACTTATGTGCCTGCAGAACATTTGGAAGAATTCAGAATAGGTTTGGAGCAACAATCAGGAGGACTCATGGCCCTGGACATTTTTTCTTCATACACTGGAAGGTAATAGAAATAATAAATCTGATAAATCTGAGGGAGGAAGGGAGGGAGGCAACAGATTACCCAGAAGAGTGTCAAGGTCAAGGTGGGTGGATCAGGAAGGGATCCTAGGTGAAGAATGAATTCCCTTCCTGCACATAGGCTTTTCAAAGAGACCCAGCTCTCCTATTCGTCACCACCTAGTGCAGAAAACTTAAGGAAGTAATAAAAATACAAATTAAGAGATATTTAATTCCACTGTTCAGCACTTCTAGCATATTAAAGATTTTTTAAATTACCTTGTATGTAACCATTATTCCTTTAGTTTCCCAGAACCTATAATTTGTATAGTTTTATGTCATATTTTCCTCTCTGTGAATATCATCAATGATTTTGTTTGCTTGCTAATATACATACATATTCACAAACATTTTTAGTGGAGGTATGGGATTTTGTTCTTTGGTGTTTTTTGGTTTGTTTTTAATTTTTATTTTGTGGAAATGTTTAGCTAAATGCCCCAGTACATCATTGAAAACATGCATCATTGAAAACAGTGTTTGACTTCTTAAAGGCCCCCAGCCCAAGGGAGCAGTCTCCTCCCATGTGATTAACTGCCTCTGAAAACCCACCAGAGCTATGGTTCAGTTTCTACTTGATGGTACAACAACAACAGTACAGGGGGGTAATGGTAGTGTGGCACTTTCTTTGTGTGTTGGCTGACAGGTGGGCAGCTTGACTCCAGCAGTCCTCCAAGGGAGAAAGAGCAGTGGTCTCCTCCTGTTACAGCCTAGCCCACATCCAGGATTTTACACCTAAATGCAGATGCAGGAGGAACTGGTTCTTACCGATGACACAGAGCTCATGGGTGCTCCACAGTGGGACACAGATGCAGAGAAGTCTGTTTCATCACGTTGAGGGAAACCCAATGGAAGGGCTCCCTGAGCCAAAGTAGACCTGCCGGCAGTGGGCTTACATGTAGATATATTTGCAAATATATTACACACTCTCTTTAAAGAATAGATTTACTCCCCTGCCCCAACTTCTTAGGAAAGACAAGAACTGGATTTTTTTTGGTAGTAGTGAGTTCATAGCAAAGACTTGTTTGGTTTGGGCTTTTCTCTAGTTCATTAGAATGTGAGAGGTCCATTTCTCCCTAGACACACTGTAGAGCAGAAAGGGCTTTGCAGTGTGCCTTGAGGGCATGTGACCGGAGCTCCAGGGTTCCTGAGAGGACATTAGCATATCCCTTTTTACCTACTGACCCTCTTGGCATCCAAATATGGTATCATACTCCTCTCTACTACCTAGACACCGTGCCGTTTATAAGTGGCGCATTAGGGAAGGAAAGAAAGGTCATGAGTTTGATAGAAGGAAAGCGTATCGTGGTCTCTGGAGCCCCATGAATTTTTAAGGGAAAGGAGTATTCACAGAGTTCAACTACACTCCCTTCTAGAATTTTCGTTCCAGGATCAATGGCATATATTGAGGTTGGCTTCGCACTACTGCTTGTTAAAATGATAAGAAGGAATCATTCCAGTGACTCTCTGAAATAGTGGTTCGAGTGACTTGGTGTAGAGTACTCAGGGATAATGTTTTTTATTCCGGTAAAATGTAGAGGCTTGACAGCCCCGAAAATTATAAGAGGTAAAAATCTACTGGCAACACTATGCCCTCTCCAGCATCGAAAGGGGTTCCCCGAGGCTGGCAGAAGGTAAATAGCAGTGCTTGAAACAAATGCAAACCATACAGTGCAGTTTGCATCATCCAGAGAAAGAGTGTGCAACAGAGAGAGAGGAGGAGCTTGTTCAAAGTCCTGTAGCTGTTAGCATTAGACTCAAGATTAGAGTCTAAGCAGTTAGTCTGCGCAATCCGTGTTCTTAACCATTAAGCTTGGCTTCTTCTCTGGATAGGTATAAAAGGTCTTAAATGTGGACACAATGAAAGAACTGTTTAAGTCCAGTATAAAAGTCTGTGGAAGGTAAACATAAATACTCATAACTCTTGAATTCACTTCAATAAAAAAAAAAAACACATGCAAAAAAAAAAAAAGAGAAAATAAAAAAAGCAAACCCACTACTGAATGTTCTAATTCAGGTGACCTTATAGGACAGAGTAGAACCGCCCCATAGGGTTTCCAAGGCTGCAATCATCATAGAAGCAAACGTACACATTTTTCTCCCATGGAGCAACGGGTGGATTTGAACTACTGAACTTTCAGTTAGCAATCCAATGTGTAATACATATCTACATATAAGTGAACTCAAGCAGTTCAAGCTGAGGTTGTTCAAGACACAACTGTGGGAGGTCGACCCACACCCCAAAATCCCTTAGTGATCAACGATCAGTTGTACTCATTCGCCAGCTATAATCTATATGTCTACCTGCATTTTCACTTTGAATAAGTGCAAAGAGACGATGCTGCTGCATGGATTTACAGTGACTTTGGAGGACTCACTGCGTACTTCTTTAACAGGGACATCCCAGAACTGCCGGAGCGAGAAGAAGGAGAGGGAGAAGAAAGTGAACTTCAGAATGCGGCCTACAGCAACTGGAACCAGCCCCGGCGGTAAGAACGGGCTGTCTTCTGTCCACTCAGTGGATACGTGGTCTTGAAAGGCAGGGGGTGTGATGGTTTCAAGGACTGAATTTCTGATCCTTGAGTCATTGGCAGGTAGTTTGATACTGCATGAAATAAAAGTAGTATGCAGACAAAGACGTGCCGTGATTAGGGACTGAGCAGAACTAACCAGAGAATATTATGCTTGGGGATTTGGAATTAATAGTACCCATAGTATTTGATCTTAGGCATACTAGCAAATACTAACTTAACTTTTTATCTTACATTCATAAAAAGTAGTTCTTTAAACATACATAAGAAAGCAAGCCAAGCATCTCACTGTCCTTACTTCTAAGGAACTCTCTGGCTGCAATTCTCCCAAGACAAGATTGCTTATTGTGCTGTCAGTCAAATATTTGATATTCTTCACCAACTCAGTTCAAAGGCATTGACTCCTCTTTTATCATCTTTATTCATTATGCACCTTTCACATTCATGTGAAGCAATTGAAAATACCATGACTTGGAGAAGCTTTGTCGATGTCAAGTCATATTCAAGATATAAGAAGCATCATTTGATGTTGCTTTCAAAGCATTTCTAGCCATTTGAGTGAGCTTTTAATTTCTCATTAGCAGCACATAGAATCTTATTATAATCTCATTATCATCTAGTATGAACGGACTCCTAGTTGACCCTCCAGAAAGTTTTCTGAAACTGTAAACTGTATGAAAGGAGGTCACCCCTCTTTCTTCTGCAGAGGCTGGTGGCTGTAACAGTGAGAGGAGCACCACCTTGGGGCTAGCAGGGAAACCCCCTGTGGAAGAAGCCCCCGGAGCTCCCTGAATAGCAGTTTAGCCGAAAATCCAGTGTTGTTAGGAGCTGTTGGGTTGAATACGACTCATAGCAATCCTGTGAACAGCAGATCTGAACTCTGTCCTATCCTGCGCCAGCCTCGTTATCTCTGACCCACCCCAGCCCATTGCTGCAGTCACTGTGTCAATCATCTCTCATCGAGGCTATTCCACCCTTTCGCTGACCCTCCACCTTTCCAAGCATGATGTCCCTTTCCAAGGACTAGCCTCTCCCAGCAACATGCCCAAAGCATGTGACACAGAGCTTCACCATCCTTGCCTGCAAGGAGACTTCTGGCTGTACTTTTTCCAAGATATACTTGTTCTTTTGGCAGCTGATGTGATACTCAGTTCTCTTCCTCAGCACCACTACTCAGAGGCATCAGTTCTGTCATCCTTCTTCATCGTCCAGCTCTCAGATGCATAGCAAGGGATTGAAAAGACCATGAGTCGGGCACACCTTAGCTTTCAAAATATCATTGCTCCCCAGCAATTTGAAGAGGTCCTTGACATCAGACCTGCCCAGTACATCATATCTCCTGATCCTCCTGATTGCTGATACCAGGGCTGTTGACGGTGGAGCCAAGTAGGAGGAAATTGTTGATAATTTAAATCTTTTCTCCTTCTATCTTGGTGGTACTTATTGGCCCACTGCTTAGGACTTTTGTCTTCTTCGTGCTGAGATGAAATCTGTATTGCATGCTGAAGGCTTTGATCTCCAGCAGGCATTTCAAGTCCTGCTCACTTTCAGCCAGCAAGGTCATGACCGAGCAAGGTAGAAAAGCTCTGCGTATGTGTGAAGTTCTAAGCCTTTTTTAATTACAGCTTTGCCAGTTTTAATCTAAGTTTCTTAATCTCTGTTCAATTTTAGTTAATTCACCTATATAAAATTAGTTTCATAATCAACTAAAAAAACCAACAACAACCCAACACCAAACACTTTCCAGATTCACCACTATCAAGGTCAATAGTCGTCCTCCTTTGGATTTCCAGGAGTGCAAATCTTAATGAGAGGAAGGTGGAACCTTGCCCTTTGTATTTTGAGTATTTTGTCAGAAGGGTCCAGTTCTTGCAAGAAGACACCATACTGGGATGCACAGAGGTCAGCAAGAGAGAGGCAGACGCTCACGGGGTGGAGTGACGCGGTGACTACAGCAAAGGCCTGGTCACAGCGGAGGCTGGTGCAGGATGGAGCAAGGTTCCAATCTGTTGTTCGTTGAGGTCTTTGCACTTATTAATTCTTCTACTTTGAGATATGCCCTGGCCCGTATAATGAATTCAAGAACTCATTTTTAATGGCTTCAAGTAGCCAGAAGATCTGTGAATGAATTGCAAAATATCAACGTTGTTCAAAGGCAGAGGTATAAGAATAAAATGATTTGCAGTGTTCGGCCCAGATGAGAAAACAGCTGGGGCTGTAATGTACTTTCCTCGTCTGCCCAATGAAGGTATTTGCAATTCTACATCAAAGCGTCGTTGCAAAGTTTAAATTAATTACCGTGTGTAAAATGCAAAACAAAGCTATGATTACATTGTACACATTCAAAAAGCATTATTATGATTAGGAAATTATCTCCAAGGATAATTATACACTTACTTTAAATGCCTGATGATCTGAAGGGATAACAGGATTGCAAAGACAGAAGGAAGCATGGGAGAAGAGTTTAAGGAGGATCTGGTGGGCCCAAGTCAGACAGAATGTCAGCAGCTGCTCTTCACGCCTTCCCTGGGGCACCAGGTCGCCCTTGGCCAGAAAGACAGACTTCTCCAGAAGTCAGCTGCTCAGGCCGTGTGTGAGGGGCTCTTCTTTCTCTTGATTTGGTTGCTGGGCTTGGAAGCTACCGTGTGTTCAGTGGTAGCTGAATTTCTTGATGGATTACTGTCTGTTATAGGAACTCCTGCAAGTGGTGCTTTTCAGTACATCTGTGCTCCAGCATGGAATGTGAGTCCTGCTGTATTTACTTACTCTAGTTACTTTAGAAGCTGTTCGCGTTGTGTGCGATGGTGTTAGAACCAACTCATAGCTGACCCTCCAGCGGGTTTTCAGAGGCAGTACATCGCATGGGTGGAGATTACCTGTCCTCCTGCAGAACAGCTCGTGAATTCAAACCACACGTCCGGGATTGTAGCACAGCTTCTTGCCACTAGGCCACTAGGATCTAGTTCTTACATTGTGCAAAATGCGTGGTTGGGAAAGTACATAAAAACCCTGTCATTTCCTACTAGTAAACCTTGAGTGTTGGAGAAGAGTACTGAATATCCTACAGACTGCCAAAAGAACAAACAGATACACCTTGGAGAAAGTACAGTCAGCGTCCTGCTTGGAAACAAGGATGGCAAAGCTTCGTCTCACATACTTTAGGCCTGTTGCTAGTAGGGGCTGTTCCTTGGAGAAGGACATCATGCTTGGGAAGGTGGAGGGACGACAGCATAGAAGGAGATCCTCAAACCAGGTGGATTGACACAGTGACCGCAGCAATGGGCTCGTGTGTGTCAGAGACCATGAGGACGGCACCGGATGGGGCAGGCTTCATAGCTGTTGTCCGTGGGGGTCACTATGAGTTGTACTCCACTCGGTGGCACCCAACCACAGTAACAACAGCTAACCCTTCGTAAATTGTGCATGTTCATGGAACGAACAAACAAACAAAAAAGCAGGTAACAAATCTTGACTGCCTTGAATTCATTAACTTATTTCTTTTTACAGGGTTGAACTGTGGCGAGAACCAAGCAAATCCCTGGGCATCAGCATTATTGGTGGACGAGGGATGGGGAGTCGACTGAGCAACGGGGAAGTGATGAGGGGCATTTTCATCAAGCACGTTCTGGAAGACAGTCCGGCGGGCAAAAACGGAACCCTGAAGCCTGGAGATAGGATAGTAGAGGTACCCGCCAGCCAGCTTTCTGTGCCGACACTTTGTCCCCATTTCATCCCCTTTTACATGGGAATCTTAATATTTCTTTTTTATATTCATGCCTTTGGCCAGGCTGGAGTTTAAAATTTGTTCATGACTGAAACATTTATACTTTTTTATTTTTGGTTTTGACTTCCAATGCCCTCTGTTCAATAAGAGAATGTTTCTCTTGACGGATAGGCTGATATTTGCAATATATTTGTCTGTTTTATGGTAAAATAATAAAGTTCTTTTTGAACAAAGCAATATTTATAAAGAAAAATCATGTTTAAACACTCACACAGACTCCCAATATAAGCATCACAATTAAATTCTCTGAGATTTTATCACTATTTTCTCATTGTAGATGAGCATTACTAGATGGAATATTTTTCCCCAGTGATTCCAACAGCTAAAATCTGTTTTGGAAATCCAGTTATATTCTATGTAATTACCGACCCACAAGCCAAGCCTGGGTTTCCTCTTTACCGTGTGTGTGGGGTGTGTGTGTGTGTGTGTGTGTGTGTGTGTGTGTGTAAGAGGTAAGAGTAAGACAGACAGACATATCTCTGTGCAAATGTACGGATGCTTCCTTATGACACATTTAGGCAAATTATACCTAATTCCTTAATTCGGAGGAAGTTTAATTTTTCAGACACTCTTCTTGAGTCATGCTTTTGGTTACTCAGCAGATATTCCCCGAGAAATTGAATTTCAGAGATTGTGACAGGCTCTGGGCATCCTGCAAGAGACAAGGCTCCATGCCCACTTAGCTTCACCTGCGCGTAGTGGGGTAGATAGGTCGATCGTATGAGCTGAGGTTTGTTTAATTGGGCAGAGAATGCGGTGCCTGAACTAGATTTGCTGAGCTTTCAAAATATCCAGAATAGGCATAAGTTTCAAGTAAAAACTGATGCCATTGTCACTATCCTGTTGCCATGGAGCCTGTTCTTAAGTCATCCTAGAGGACAGAGGGGACCTAACTGCCCCGAGGGGCTTCACTTAAAGAAGCAGGTTATCACACCTTCCTCAGGGGTTTTGCAATACTAACCTTCCAGTTAGAAGCTGAGTGCTTAACCACTGCACCACTAGGGCTCCCACTGTTACTATGATGACCTTACAGTTCCTTCACACAAGTGGTGGTCTCTCCTTTTCGCTACCCCATATAACTTCAACACTGAAAGAGCTTTATTGTCTAGGAGATAGTTACAACCCGTCAAATGTAATTGGAGATGACGGTTGGAGATTTCTTTACTCTTCCACTGACATTTGTGGTTTGCTTTTGAGAGCTGACAAAGGAGGAAGATTGAGACCTGACAGAAAGCAAAGGCGAGGTCTGGTCCAGTCTGGTTTGAGCCTGTGACTGTTTAAAAGGGTGGCTTTTTCTCCTTTCTTGCATTCTTGCTTTTTTTCACAAGGTGATAACTTTAGAGAATCATCATTGACAGCTTTCGGCAGAGGCAGTTTATTGTAGGCACGCTTCATTATTTACTTGATCATCTTTCTGGGGCTTTTTTTGTACTGGTTTCTTTATAAAAGTTGAACACATTGTTTTCAAGAACAGATTCTTCCAATTTTCCTCACCCTGCCCCAATCAAATTGTACAACCCCGGGGAGCTCTGGTGGCCTAGTGGCAAGAAACCGCACTGCAATCCCAGAGGAACACGGTTCGAATCCACCAGATGCTCTGCCGGAGAAGGAGGCGCAATATCCTCCTGTACCAGTCAGATCTGATTTGACGGTACACGCACACAAAATAATAAAAATTAAAAAAAAAAAATTGTACAACCCCATGGTTAATCCCCCCGCCCCCTCCTCATTCCTCTGCTTCTACTCTTCCCCTCTTTGGATCCTTATACTCATTCTTCAATAATGGTTTTATACAATATTTATCCTTGTGGGACTGAGTTAGTTCACTCAGCATAATGTTCTCCAGTTCCAAGTTAGGTAACAATTTCCAGAATCATTGCTCCTTTGATGGAAAAAGAAAACACTATTATATATGATTATTGACCGAAAGAATTGATCAGAGTCTATACGAACATGTCTGTGGTTGAGCAGTGGTCCACTGGGTGTCGTTACATGTAGGATATTCTTTAATAGCTAAGAAAGCCCCAAGCTCTTGTCATTCTGGACTTTCTGAAAATTTATGAGACCTGTAAAATACTGCATTCTGAGTGAGAGGTGAAATTGTCCACCAGCCAGATACATAGTAGATAGGAATATTTATTTTTATTCTATCAAAAAAGGTGAGAAGCCGCTTTTAGGATACCCTCCCAAAAGTTATTATTTTGGCATCTAATTGTTAACTTGAGGGAGATTTGAAGCAAAATGGTGACGTTTTGAAGGTGATGGTATTCCAGAGGGTGTTCAGAGGTGGTTAATTACATGGGAGGAGATTGCTCAGCCTTCTACCACAGAGCTGCTAGTGGCCTTGAACCACGTGCCTTTGGGATTGCAGCATAGCTTCTTGCCCCTAGACCACCAGAGCTCCCTATTCTGGGAAAAGCTCTAGTAACTTTTTCTTGAGTTGAGTGTACTCTGATTTCGCCGTTCAGGCCTGTATTTCCATTGCTGTGATTGGAAACACAAAAATGCCAATAGCTTCCTAGTGTTTCCTGGCAGGATTCGCATTTGGCCTTTCAAAGTTCTTTTCCTCTGGTTCAGACAGTGCAGAGGTGGAACTAATCAGTGCCTAATCAGGCAAGCCTTTGTGAATCGAAATTTCTGAAATAACGTTCATTTTCAAACTATTCATGTCATAGTTACTAACAAGCCTGCTCCATCTCTTAGCTTCTAGCTCCTGTCGTGTCTATGGCTTTATGCCTTTTGCAGCACTAACCTTACTATAACCTGATTCATCAGGATATGAGAACTTTGTTTTTAGCTTTGTGGTTCCTTGTACAGAGCTAAACACTCAAATGTCACCCAAACCCACGCTATGATGAATCTAAAGACACGTAGTGCAGTGATACCCATGATGAAAGCAGTCCCATGGTTTGGGACCTCAAATGCTAGACTCACATTGTATTTGTTTCTGAAACATTTTTCCAAGAGGCTAATGAGAATCCTCCAGGGTGCATATCCACAAACTGTTTTGTTGTTCTGTAGCTTCTTGTCATGTTAAGCTGAATGCACATCCAAAAACTTCTCCAACAGGGTAAAAAGGGAAGCCACAGACTGGGAAAAAGTATTTGGTACTGACATATCAGATAAGGGACATAAATCCAGAATTTATAAACTGCTTGAGCACCACAACAAGATAAAAGTAAATAATCCAATTGCAAAATGGGCACAGGATATGAACAGACACTTCACCAAAGAAGACGTTCAGATGGCCAACAAGCACATGAAGAAATGCTCAAAATATCTAGCTCTAAGAGAGATGCAAATTAAAACAACTATGAGATATCATCTCACCCCAGTCACAATAGTAAAATTTAACAGAGCAGCAAACAGCAAATGCTGGAGATGTTGTGGAGAAACTGAAACCCTTATTCACTGTTGGTGGAAGTGTAAAATGGTGCAATCACTGTGGAAGGCGGTATGGTGCTTTCTTAAAAAGTTGCAAACAGAAATACCATTTGACCCAGCAACTCCACAGCTAGGAATATGCCCCAAAGTGACAATAACTGACATCCAAGCAGATATATGCACACCCATGTTTATCACAGCTTTGTTCACAACAGCAAGGAGTTAGAAACAACCTAAGTGCCCACCAACACACGAATGGATAGAGAAGCTGTGGTATATATTCACACAATGGAATACTATGCTGTATTGAAAAACAAAGAACTCATGCAATATTATTAAAAATGGGTGACCCTGGAGGACATTATTCTGAGTGAAGTATCTCAGTCACAAAAGGACAAATATTGCATTGTGCCACTATTATAAAACAGGACTGGCCTCGGGGTTGGTGGGAGACTGAGAAAGATGGGTTCAATAATGTATACTGCATTGAAACAGGTGAGTGAGAAAACTGTTCAAAAGGGATATGTTATTAGGTATTTTTGTCATGACAGTGAAGTCCAGAGTGAAGACTGCATAGTGGAGTGGACCTGGGGGGAGTGTAAAACAATGAAAGAATTTTTCTCTTACTTTTCTAAGAGGGTAGTGTACTGGGGACAGGGGAAGGTTGGGAGGGAAAAAAAGTACAACAATGAATGAATGGAAATCCAAAGTGTCTGTAAATTTTCATTGAAATTAATAATTTAAAAAAAGGAAAAAAAAAAACAACAACCAAAAAAAAAATGTTAAGCTGAGCCTTCCATTTGCAGGTGGATGGAATTGATCTCAGAGACGCAAGCCATGAGCAAGCTGTGGAAGCCATTCGGAAAGCAGGCAGCCCTGTAGTGTTCATGGTACAGAGCGTTATAAGCAAACCAAGGGTAAGCGAAGACAGGGGGAGGGCAAGGTAGGCGCACCCAGAGAGCCTCCCGCTGGCAAGCTCATGCTCCAGGGGCTGCGTTCTCGCCGGGAGCCAGCATGTGGATCCCTGACGTCTCAGATGATTTGTAAAATACCTGTTTTATAAATTTTAAAAGGTTGATCTGGCAATATCATCCACTATGTTTTAAAATGGTTTGAAACCTATTAAGAACACACACAAGCAGGATTTCTTGATGATCACAAGTATCTAGGTGGGTAATTATTAGTGTGTGTTATAGCCACAGAAGACCTCAGTTGCTAGAAGAAATAGGGTGTCATTCAGGTTAATAGTCCACGACCTCTAGCCAAATTCCCTTAGCAGCTGAAGAGATTACTTACTCTTTATGAATTTATTCTGCATCAGGGTCTTCTGCTGATGCAGCCCTCAGGGACTGATGTGTGTGTTGACTTGATACATCCCTCTGAATGCTGACATGCCACTCTGTGGTTTCCACTAAAGCGAACTCACTGGTGATTCCTAACCACTGCTTCCCAGCCACATCTTGTGTCCATCGACGTCTGTCCCCGTGAGCTGACACTTACTAACCCGATCTTACCGTCACTCATCACAGGTGAAACAGCTTCAAAGCTGTGTAGGAAATTACAGACGTGCATAGTGAGCGTTGAGACAGAAGATCCTAAGTGAGGCTTTGTGAACATGGGGTTTTTGTCTTTTTTTCTCTTTAATGCCTTCATTCATGCACACTTTCCTCCCTCCCATATAGTTTCTGTTTTAAACTAAAGATCAAAATGAGCCAAAGGTTTAAAATAACTGTGTATTTTAATATTCCTGCTCTATTTTCTTTGGGCTTCAGGGAAAGAAATAAAAAAGATATTTTCTTACAGGAAAGAAAGCCCTTCCTTTGAATCAATGCAGACTTTTAGAGAGCAGTAAATCTGCTCTCTAGGGTTTCCGGGTTTCCAGAAATAGAAATCTTTGTGAACCCAAAATGCCACATTTTTCTTCCGAGGAATTAACTGGTGGATTCAAACCACTTACGTTTGCATCAAGAGCTGAGTGTCTAACGTCTGTGCGCCCAGGACTCCTATCCTCATATACAAGCAATCCTTATATTATAAATAAATTTATAATAAAGACTGCCCTTACACTGACTTTCCTGTAAGTTGAAACAATTAACATATCTCCATATCAGTTAGTCAAGGAGACAGATTGACGCAGTGACTGCAGAAATGGATTCAAGTGTGTCTAAAATGATGAGGATAGCTCAAGAAAGAACAGGGTTCAGGTCTGTTGTTCATAGAGTCACTATAAGTCTTACTCAATTCAACAGTGTCTAACAACCCAAAAGAGAGCTCTAAGGTGGCTTAGTGGTGAGGAATGTGCCGCCAACCCAAAGGTAGGAGGTTTGAATCCACTCTCTCTGCCACTGGAGAAAGATGAGCAAGCTCCTCCCAGGCATTTACTGCTTCTGAAAACCCATCGGAGGGTCAGCTCTGTGCCAGTTTTGACTCCACTCTACACACCAGCAACATGACCCCAAAACCAAACCCACCGAGTGCAATTGATTGCATCTCCCAGCACCTTTGCATTGGATTTCAGAGGCTGCAGTTCCTGACGAGAAGACAAAGGCTCACCTTTCTCCCACAGAGCATCTCACAGATTCTGCCCACTGCCCTACCTGTCAGTAATCCCATTCAAAATCCGGTGCACCACCAGCGCTCCTTGCGTTAGAAGATAATCTCCTGGTGCCACCTGCCTTTCAAAAGTTTATGTATACCATTTTATAAAAGACCTTTATTAGTGCCTGCCTTTATTCACTGCAGGAACTCCAAAGCGAACTTGTGCTTTTAAGGAAAAGGCAGAAACAAAACTTACCATTTAGTGTCAATTTTGTAGTCAGTTTAAAAGGGACAGAGTACACCCAAGGGAGCAGTGAGAGTGGGGTCACCCAGCCGCCTCCCTGGAGTTGACATATCAGCATCAGGGCCAGTGCATCTCCCAACTGTCTGTGATGAGCGCAGTGTGCATGCTGTCTTAGCCTTTCTGTGTTACTGAAAATCTGGGTAGGATTGGCTCTGCTCTTTTAGGGTCCAGTAGAGATGAAAAATACTGCCCACATAAATGAGAAATGGTAATCACTACGTCTTTACTCTGTGAACAGATTTCTTAGGATTGCTCAACTAAGATAGTAGGGGAAGCTTATAAAGGGTACCTTTCTAGCCATAAACAGCTTAGAACCTATTCGGATACACCAGAAGTTTTCAACACAATACCACAGTAATAATAAATACAGTCACAATAAAATTACAGTAGCAATACAGTTACAGTAGCAATAATACTCACATGTATGTCTGAAAATTGAGTCAGTGTGTTGGTTTAAACTGTTGTGTGCACCTTGAATTTTCAGTGGAATTGGCTCTGTCAGGGCTGATTTGTGGCTATGGGCTGTATATAACTTGAATGCTCCCAGAACACACTGGTCCTTCAGCTGCTCTTAGTTGCCATTGGCTCAAGCGCCTTCCTTTTGAGAGTGTGTATGCCTTTTCTTTAGAAGCCTTTGCATTCACTGGAGAGGTTCAAGGAGTTTCCTAGACGCTCTTGCAGTCCCCATGTCTCATTTTCATTCAGAACTCCGGTCATCTTGATTCTCCTTTGAATAATCTGCTTACTAGCTTGTAGGTGTGGTCCTTGAAAGAATCAAGGCAACCACAGCTCTGAACCAGCTCATTCCACACTGGCCTGCTGCAGAGAATTTGCATTTGCACCCCAGTTATCCTGAATCAAAATCGAGAATCTACAGTTTACATGATCCCCAAGTGTACATAATGCACATTTAGAAATACATAATTATGTAACTATACAAATGTACACATAAAAATTATCTGATATCTTCTTATCATTGAGATTCTAATCCTGTATAAATTGCCTAGTGATCTTGTTATCATTAGGATTCTAACCCAGTGTACAGGAGGCAGTGGTGGAGGCAGTGAGGCCTGACTTATAGTGTTGTTGTTGTTGTGTGCTCTAGAGAAGGAACTGACTCATCACTGACCCTCCAGTGGGATTTCAGAGGCTCTAACTTGCACGGCAGGGGATTACCCAGCCTTCTCCCAAGGAACAACTGGACGACTCGAACCGAATGCCGTTATCTTAGAGCTGTTATTGTTCTTATGTAACAGAAAGTCAGAATCAACTGTTAGCTGACCCTCCAGCAAGTTTACAGAGGTTTTAAATCTTACTGGAGGAGCATGCCCATCTTTGTCGGGTGGAGGAGCTCATGGATTTGAACTGCGTGCCTTTGGGTTGGCAGCACAGCTCCTTACCACATCTCGGAAAATGATCGATCCTGAAAGACTTAGTTCCAAGTCTGGTGTCAGCATACAAGAGGAAAATTAAAGTCACCATCTAAAAACCACAAACCAGTACCAAAATGTACTATTTTACTAATAAAATACTTTAAGCTTTAAATTTTTAAAAGAAGAGTTGAAGATAGGACTGCTGAAAGGATGATGGGGGAACTAGTGCGAGTTCCAGAGAGGTGTTGTGGGTAAGAGCCCTGAACGGACAGTGCCTGGCACGAGACTCCAGAGAGGGGCTGTGGGCAAAATCCCTGAATGGACTCTGCCTGAGAATGCAGGCAGAGCGACAGGCTTTAGCTGGCTGGTCCTTCCTTTTGTTGTGAAGCCAGGTGTAGCTCTCCTCTGGGTTATCGCTAAGGAATGGATTGAGCAGCTCCTGATGGATGCTGTTATCTTCACATCTGCAGTTCTTAAATCATTCAGTTGGTGATTGTGAGGCAATAATTATCCATTCAGATGAGAAAATGTGCCGAGCTTGAGGGCTGCATCCTGCCGCATTCTTTACCAAGGCATTCAGTTTGTTTAAATCACCACAAATCTTTTTACGTTTGTTTCCATTTGTTGTGTTAAACACAGACACAGCAAGATAATGCCAGTAAATGCCTGTTTAAGTTAAGTTGAAGCTCATTTGTGTGTGTGTGTGTGTGTGTGTGTGTGTGTGTGTGTGTGCTGAAGGGAGTGTTATTCCGTCTTTTATTTTATTTTTAATTTTCATCATTGATGTTATTTAGAACAATCCTGAATAGGGGTTCTAAAATTTACCTTCAAAACGTGAAGTACAAAGATTGCCTTCAATCCAGTCTTATTCTTCTAATGAGCTGAGAAGATATTGGTTCATACACCTGGGAAATGCCTTGTTTTACTTTCAAGAGATATAATGACATTGATTTTATAGCAGTTATTCCCAAGATGACATGTTTTGTCACCTTTGGTTCATTTTTGCTTTGAGAAAAAATGAATCAGATTTAATTTTGCATTTCAAATGAGATCAGCTTTGTTTTCAGGGATTTAGTTCTCAGTGGCAATAACTGTCTACACTAATCTAAAAGGAATCAAAATCACAAGGGCATGGACTTAAGAACCTCTTAGTCCTCAGTGTTTGGCAATGTAACATAGGATGAAGCATCTAGAAGTTATTTTCCGTAGGCTGAACACTGTGTGGCTCTGAGGATGTTCAAGACTCTTAAACTTCTTAGAACTATTACTCGTTGCCTTTGAGTCTGCGCCAGCCCATGGAGGCCCCCGTGTGTGCTCACTGGGTTTCCAGTGTCTGAGTTTTTTCTGGACATAGGTCGCCAAGTTTTCATGGCGAGCTGTCTGCCTCTGGGTGGACCTGAACACTGTTGTTTAGCAGCTAAGTACGTGAACTGTCCCAGCCAAGTGCCCAGAACTCGCTGAGAGAATTCTACTAGAAAGACTCAAACTAAAGGAGAACAATAAAAAAACAAAACAAAACCCCAACAACCACTACGATGAAGTCAATTCAGAGTGATCCTCCAGGAGAGAGCAGAGCACTTCCCAGACCTCAGTCCAACCACTTTACCAGATGGAAGTGGGCCCGTGAATAAAGGCCAAAGAATGTTCTTGTCTTCTCTGTGCCTTTTCCCCGAATCAGGAACATGGCTGCTTTTATCAGCCCTTGCGATTGTAAACAGAAGTTTAGTCGTTGACTTTGTTAGTGGGAAATAGAGTGTGCTTCTCTAAATCTTTACCTGATGACCATTGTCTGCTTGCTCGTGTGATGTGCTGGTGTAGCACGTTTACACTCTGCCGCCTGGGCCCGGTCCCATGCCAACAAGAGCTGCAAATGAAAAGTCAACCCAATCAAGAGCGCTTTTTTAAAAAAAAAAAAATCATTATTAATTTCAATAAAAATTTACAGAGACTTTGGACTTTTATTCATTCATTATTGCACTTCTCTCCCCTCCCAATCCTCCCCCCAGTACCCTCTTGGAAAAGTAAAAGAAAAATTCTTTCATTGTTTTACAATCCCTCCCCCCAGGTCCACTCCACTACGCAGCCTTCGCTCTGGACTCCCGTCATGACAATAATACCTAATCACATATCCCTTTTAAACAGTTTTCTCCCTCATCTGTTTCAATGCAGTATACATTATTGAACCCATCTTTCTCAGTCTCTCCCCAACCCCGAGGTCAGTCCTGTTTTCGAACTGTGGCACCATGCTCTTTAGAGTGGACTACTCCACTTCTCACCAGGATGCTTTCGTTTCTAATTGTTCTCCCGAATTTCAAAGGACACCGAGGAACTAAAAGCATGAGGGAAGATTGTAAACCATCTTCATTCTCCGTAACATCCAGTTCTGTGCCCTAGGAGTGTGGCTTGAAGTGCTGTGTGATCATTTCTCCCACCTCTATGAATGGTCATGTTTCTTGGCATGCGTGGTCTTCCCTTTTGTAAAGCAGGAGTTGACATTTTACTCTGCAAAGCCGAGAGAAAGTTAAGATGAGCAGAAATGTCATACTGCCCATTTTCCCCCTTATCTTTTCCTCATAGAAAAAAAACCCACCCAAAAAACACATTGGAAGAAGAGCAGATTGACAGGGGAACATGGCATACGCTTCACTGCAGTCACTGAGCGTACGTGGTCTTTCCAGAGTGTTCTCCATACAGAGTGGCTCACATGACAACCTCTTCTGACACTTGATGCCTGCCAGGATGCCTTTTTTTTTAGGGAGGGAAGTAACACAAACATGTCATTGGAGCCAGAAGGAATTCTAAATGTCTGAAATCTCTACTGAAAGGGATAGTTAACAAAGTGAAAAGATGGTGGGTGTGAAAAGAAGAATGGATTCTGCTACGAGGAGAACTTTCTTTTTTTATAGTTATGAAAATGCTATGTTCTGTCTGACTGTCATCCTGCCTTTAATATTCTACTCAGTGTCAACAGTCCTGAGTAGGGACTGTCACAGGCAAGCCACCAAACATCAGAAATGCCCTGAGGCAGGACACCAAATGTGATTCAGAGCCTCTCAAATTCAACAATAATGTGGGAAATCAGTAAGAATATTTTTAAAAAGACAAATCTCCATCTTCCTACCTCCTTGAAAAGTTGGCAGAAGTAGAGAATACCATTACAAAGGCTTCAAAAGTTGCTTTTCTCACTGTTTTCGTGCGTGTGTGTGTGTGTGTGTGTTATAAGTACTGTTGATCTAAAGCAATCTTAATATTTAATCTAAGTTGTTTGTTGGTTTGTTGGGTTTTTTTTTACTTAAGAACAGGTTAAAAGAAAATGTCACCAGTGAATTAATTGATAAATACCAGAACAGAGTGACTATTTAAAACCAAAAACGTTGTTGTTGTTATGTGCCATCGAGTCGCTTGCGACTCATAGCGACCCTATACACCACAGCCCTAAACCCTGCTCTATCCTGCACCAACCGCACCGCCCCTGACACACCCATCCCGATTACCCCAGTCACTGAATCACTCCACCTCATAGAGGGTCTTCCCCTCCTGCACTGTCCCTCGACTCTGCCCAGCATGATGTCCCTCTCTAAAGACCTGTCTCTCCTTACAACATGTCCAAAGTATGTCAGGCAAAGCCCCAGAATCCTTGCCTCCAAGGAGCAGCCTGGTTTAACCCTCTCTATGATGAATCTGTTTGTTTTCTTGGCAGTCCATGATACATTCAGTACTCTTCTCCAGCACCACAGCTCAAAGGCGTCAATTCTCCTTCTATCCTCCCTAGTCATTGTCCAACTCTCTGATGCATAACAAGTGATTGCAAAAACCATGGCCTCTATCAGGTGCACCTTAGTCTCCAGAGAGACACCGTTGCTCTTGAGTACTTTAGAGAGGTCCCTAACCGCAGACTTTCCCATTGCAATACGTTTTTTGATTTCCTGGCTACTGGTGCCAAGAGTGTTGACCGTGGAACCGAGCAAACTGAAGCTGTGAACACTCTCAATCTCTTCACCATCCATCCTGATGCTACCGATTGGTCCAGTGGTGAGAATTTGTCTTCTTGACATTGAGCCTCAGTCCATATTGAAGGCTGCAGTCCTTGACCCTCTGTAGTAAAACATTATTAACTTTTAAATGTGAATAGCAAACCCAACACTTTTCTGATAATCCTGTTGAAAAGTTTTTACTGCTGTGCAGAAGTATATATCAATACAGGAAGTGGGTAGACATAGAAGTGTGTCACTGGAAAGGACAGAATTTGAGGGGCATTTTACCAGCTAGTTAACATGGTAGTTTGTAAACTGGTTCGGGCTCTGGTGGATCTTGGTTAATTAGAAGCAAACTTTTGATCTCAGATTGTTTTTTAAAATATTGTATTATTGAGTAGCACAGTTATTTAAACATAGCATATTATTGGTTAGCATAGTTATTAAACCAGTCATTAAACCAGTTTTTGTTCTTCAAAGTGACTTGTTTCACATGCATTGCCTTCACGCTCAGCCCCTTTTATGTTTTCTTCTAGAAATCCCCTTTGCCTACCTTGCTGCCCAAGCTCTCCCCTAAATTCAGCTTCAGCCGCACTAACCCATTTGCTGACTCTCTGCAATTCAGCGCCGACAAGGTTGGAGAATGCCCACAGCCATTACCTTTTGCAAACATTTTCTTCATTGTCCCATTCACTGGGTGCTAAATTTGGGACTGGTTGGGGGGGCGGGGGGGATGGGGATTGGAGGGATGCAAAACAAACCTGTGTGTTTGGAGTGAGCATGCCTATCTTTTCTTAAACAAATTGTCTTGCCAAAACGTATTCATTTTTATAGCTGAACTTAGCTGGCCCCTCTCATTCTTACTCATGAATTCAATGCTTTTCCCTGCATTGTAGTGGAATTTAAATATGCAGATATTTAAATTTCTGTCTGTTACCCTGTGTATGAGCTAGGTTCTCACATAATTTCTTTAAAACTTTGTATTGGTTTTAAACATCTTTCACAAACTTCTAGAAGGTGATCCTAAGAAAAGAGAAAAAGCACTGATGTGGGAGTGAGTTACTTTGCAAATCCTGCCATTGTCTCCTGGCAGGAGACTGATGAATATTCATCAAGTGTGCCTGTGTGTATGCCCGACTCGCAGCACATCTAACTGTTTCTGCACTTGTACGCCTATTCTGGGAGATTCTCATATTCTGATGGAATTATCAAACCAAATTTGAAAACAAGAAAATTTCATGAGTACTAATATACCATAATTTGATCATGAAAAGCAAGAAAGCTGTCAATTTCTTTCAGGAGGCATTTTATGAATATTCATCAGATTGGGTTGTTATAGTAAAGGTAATCAAAGACACTATATCTGAAGAAACCGTGTTTTCTGTTACTGTAGGAAATAGAGAATTCAAGTAGCGTTGTCTTCCATGGCTCACCAACTAACCCTTTTGCCCCCACACCATTTAAGGTTTGTCTGTGTGACATTGTCCCCGTGTCCTGTGGTGGCCCATCTTGATGTGTGCTTTCGTGGCCTTGTGTGGTTTCCACTTCCTCGTCACCTCTGTGTCAGTGAAGTTATGGGCTCTGTGAAGAGTTATGGGACAGTGGCACAGTAGTAAAACAGAATGCCCAAAACCCCCCCTGGTAGGCAGACACACGCTGGTTGAGATCTGGGACTTTCATCAATTATGTAATGGCCCCAGTTTTCTTTACTGCTCACACAGTACAAAAATGTTGTGCCAAGTGAGAAGGCGAACAATATTTTCTTTTCCTTCCGATAAGCAGGCTTTGTTTTCTTGCTTACATTTTAAGAAAAATAACAGCTCTGAAAAGTTAGGCATTATGTAGGATCTTTAGAAACTGTGCCTCTGTTTAAACACAAACAAAACACTGCTGTTGACTTGCCTCCGTGCATAACACCCTGTGAGGCTTAGTGGAACTGCCAACTAGGATTTCTGAATTTGTTACATCTTCAGAGGAGCTTGTAACTTGAAACCATCACCTTTTGATTAGCAGCAGAGTATTTAATCCACTGTCCCACCAAAGCTGCTTATTTGTATCTCCATGTTGTTGTTTTATGCCTTCAAGTAAGAACTGACTCATAGCTGACCCTCCAGTGGGTTCCCAGGGGCTGTAAATTGCATAGATGGAGACTGTCCGCCTTTCTGCCGTGAAGCAGCTGGTAGATTCAAGCTGCCTTCCCATGGAGTGGCATCTTGTTACCTTCTAGGCCACGAGAGCTACCTAGACTTGTTAAAATGATTTAAAGTTGAAATTAGATTTGTTACCTTATTTAAAAAGGCAGTGAGCATAATATTAGCTCGCTTGTAGCTGCAGAGAAGTGATCCTTCAGCCATTGAAAGGAACTAATTCTGTTTAACCAGAAAAATTTAAAAATTCACCTCCATCCTCAATTTCATATGGTTAATGTATTAAAATCAGACCAAACCAAATAAGCTTCTTTTGGATTGCTTTTTTCCTTTTACTAGTGAGTTGTTCTAGTAGTAGTTACTAGTGTATTTTGAGGGATCAAGGTGTAGCATTTGGGATGTTCACTGTGGATTGCATCATTGTGTGCCTGTGACTTTGTTTGGACAAAGGTTATCCTGAAGGCTACCTACAGAGTTCACTGTTGTTGTTGTTTAATGCCGTCGAGTTGTAGACGACTCATAGCGACCCTATGAACGAACAGCCTGAGCACTGTTCATACATAGAGTTTCCAGAGGCAAGCCATTTCGGAAGTGGATGCCGCTCCTGCTTCCAGGCTTGATTTAGTCGGGAAGCTCCAGCCAACACTGTCCACCATGGGTGCCCATTACCACGATTGGCACAGAGTTCACTACATAAAGTAAACCTTTTTATACAGAGGAGTCTGTAATCTGGCAGAAGTTGTCTCTATATCTTGCAGCTCTCCGTGTTTTGCCAGAAATATCCTAATTGTCTGGGGTGACTTTCAGGAGCTCTCGTGGTGCAGTGGTTGTGTGTTGGGCTGCCACCTAAAAGCTTGGCAGTTCGAATCCCCTGGAGCTCCACAGAAGGGTGAGCAGTCTCCTCCCGCAGAGCTGACAGCCGTGGAAACTTGGAGGATCACCATGAGCCAATATTGGCTTGACTGCAGTGGGCGCTGTGCTTTGAGGGTTTTGAGTCAGCTCTGCATCCTGGATCATGTTTAGAATCAGAGAAAGATCAGGGTCAGCTTCTTAGTCCTCTCCGTGTGAGGGTTGTTCTGTAACAGCCTGATTCTAGGTGGTTGTTGTTGTTGTTGTGTGCCCCCGACCAAAGCAAGGTTCCTAAATAATAACACGCACACCTATCATTCCCTGTTATTTAAGAAGTTGATGTATTTAATCATAATCTTCTCCATCCCCCCCAGATATTGACAGATAAAAAATAAGATACACAAGAGATATTTTGGTGAACAAAAAAAACCAAAAACACACAAAAAACTCATTCAAGTAAAGAAATGGAGGCACTAGTGCTGGGGACAAACTCTATCAGGGTTAGACCGGCTGGCTGCTCCTGACCCTGAGTTAGATACTGTCTTACTATGAAAGTTAGAAACCACATACTATCATGGGAAGTGCCTGGGAATAAAAATCAAGTGACAAAAATCCAGTACCATTGAGTAATTTCTTCTAATTAAAATTTGTCACATCTGATGGTTTCCAGTTACTTACCTGGAAAAATGAATAAGATTTACTTAGAGATCAAAGACCTTTGGAATTCTTCCGTTTTGTTTGGGGTGTATAGAATAAGAACTGTGTGATACAGCGTCCATATTTTGAAATGGGATCTATAACTGAATGTGTATCAAGCTCCTTTTGTCTCTTGTTGCTTGTGTGAGCATCTCTGTGTTGGGAAGAATAGTGTGCTAGAAAGTCAGCCCCTCTGGTCCGTGTGCTCTTTGCGGGCAGACAAGCCTGGGTGTGCAATGCTCATGGGATGGATTTGTGAAGGGGGTCATTTAAAGAGGGGATTCAGGTAACGTGAGAATTCAGTTAAGAGAATTCTTTACCTATGTTCCAAACTCACTGCCATTAAATGGATTCCGACTGATAGTGTTCCTCTACTGTGTTCCGAGACTAAACCTTTACAGGAGGAAGCTGCCCGTCCTACTCAGAGATGATAGATCCAAGCTGCTGTCAAAGTTAGCAGTTTGATAGATTATGGGCTACCCCACACCAGGGCTCCCACCTGATTTTACACACAGTGCCCCTCAGGAAATGTGTATTAGTGAAGCTTTCTCTGAGTGTCACTAATAAACTTTGAAAGATAACTCTGTAAGTTTGGTGTTTGGTTTTTTGTTTTAATTTTGGTTTAGTTTCTGAGAAGAGCTTTCTAGATCCCTTTTGTTTTTCCCAGACCCCTAAAAATGAGAACTTGGGTTGGGAAATTGATTTTTTCCAAAAGGGGAAGTTTGTTATATTTTTTCCCTTATGTCTTTTAAGCCTTCATACTGAATAATTCATGGACCTAAAATAGCAGATAGCATTTTACTGAGTTGTACTGTGAACGTGCTATTTTGTTTACCATGTGAAAACTTTACCTGAATCCTGTCTAACAATGTATATATTTATGAGCTTTCCTCTATTTGTTTGTTGTCAGAAATATCACAGCTGGTTTTGTTTTGGTTTGGGGTGTAATACTCTCCACTCCCCCCCCCCTTTCCTTTAAGTTTTCCTCCCCGGGACGGCACATACCCACTGCATTCTTCTTGTTCCCACAGGCATCTGGGCAATCAGAGTTGGAGCCAGAAAAGGCTCCGCTGTGCACCGCGCCTCTGCCCCCTCCGTCAGCATCTGCAGAGATGGGCAGTGATCTTGCCCAGACATCTGCCAGCAGAGACTCAGAAGATGTGGACAAGGAGGATGAGTTTGGCTACAGTTGGAGTAAGTTGCCTTTTGGTGTTGCCTTTGGTATTAAAAGACCTCAAGGTCTCTCCAGGCTTGTGTCCTGAACTGTTATTGGTTTTATTGGGACGTGCTGTGCTTCTGGGTGGAGAAAAAAAAATTACTATTTGTTCTGCTTCATACAACACACATTCTTGAAGTGTGAAGTCAGGTCCTCCCTTTCCTGTAGATGAGCATTCCTGCTGAAGCAGACTTTGCCATTTGTATGAGAATTAAAGAAAGACCCAGAAATGAACCTGGGACCAGCCAGCATGGGGTCTCAAACGTGACACCACTCCCTCTCAGCCTCAGATTTCTCTTTGGGCAATCTAGTCATTGTTGTTATTCATTTTTGTGTCTAATTTTCTGTACTAAGATGGTAACATTACGTGGTAGTTGAGATCACAGCTTGGGACAGTGATGAGCTATTTACCACATTTAAGTTTCAGCTATTATTATTAATAATAATAATAATAATTATTATTATTTATTATTATTATTGTGTGTGTGTGCCATCAACTTTGACCTGACTGGTACAGGAGGAGATTGTCTGTCCTTCTCCAGCGGAGTATCTGGTGGATTTGAACTGCTGTCCTCTGGGATTACAGTGCAGCTTCTTGCCACAAAGCCACCAAAGCTCGCCAACCCTTATTTTTAAGGAAGCATTTATTACCCCAAGTAACTCACATTAAGTTAGAGAATGCATGAAGACTGCTAACCGACACCCCAGGTGCATAGGGGGCCTTTGGAGGCAGCTTTTACTATCATTATTGGGACTTCTTTATTTTCTGAGGAAATAAACCACATGTAAGGGAAATACTAAAAATTCAGACAATGTTTATAAATATGTTGCTTTTTAAAAAGATTTAATTTTTAAACGTTTAATAATTTCTTTTAAGAAAACTCTGGTACATGATATTTAGGGAATTTAGAGTGTAAGGTCGCCGATGAGCTGCTAGGGGTAAGCTCTTTTGGAAACCCAAGTCTGCTCCTGGTGAATTTAGAGTGCTCCCACAATCTAGAAAATGGTAATATGTGAAACTGATGCTATTAAGAGTCAGCATCGATTACAGAGCATTAACTATATAGCATCATTTTCTACTAGGTGGTTTGTAACATTTGTTGTTTTCTCAGTTAACTGTCAGTGAAATTAGAGTAAATTGCTGACTCATTCAAGGTGACCAGGATATTCCCAGGTAAATATTAACCAAAAGGTTCTGGTAGTCTGTTGGAGCTCTTGTGGACTGTTGGGTAAGGAGTTGTACTGTCAGCTCAGAGGCAAGTGGTTTGGATCCACAAGCTGTTAAGAGAAAGGTGGACAATCTCCTCCGATGCTGTTTACAGCTTCTGAAAATCCTCTGGAGGGTCAGCTATGAATTGGTTCCAACTCACTGGCACATAACAAAACATTGTTATGTAACATCATGTCAATTAATGGCTTCTAAATTATAGTTTATAATTAAACTGTCAAGGTTCTGTCTCTGACTGGACTCAGCTGAGCTGGACACCTAAGATGGTGTGTGCCAGTGGCTGGTAGAGATAGTGCTGAATTTTACGCAGTTGCTTTTTTTGAGGCTGTGGTCTTTATAATGACTCCTCTCCATATGGCTTGAGGTATTTGCAGTACGTAGCCAAGACATGAGGAATGTTTCAAGTGAAAGAGGCAAGACGTAGAGCCGTCTGGCCTTTAAGGGACTACGTTTAGATTTGCTGTTTTGCTATTGGTAAAAGTCAGCACAAGACTTGTTCAGATAAAAGAAGGTAGAGAATCAACTGTACATCTTGAACATGTGGGAAGGAAGATAAGAATGGCATTATGTGTAGCCGATCTGGGACAGATCCCCAGCTCTAAATTTACCCTGGCCTCATGACCTTGTGCAGTCACAGAATGTGCCCACTTTGTCTGGATATATGTACAAAACATGATCCAACATGATGGGACCTTGGTGGGAGAAAAGCTTTGATTAATGAAACAAGTATTCTGCCAGACTTAACAACTGTATTCTCTTTTGTAAAGAATTTGGGATGTATAAATAATTCCTCTCGGTTAAGACAAAGCAATTAATTCAACTACTTCGTCTCAGATATGGGGTAATTCCTTTGGTTATTTCTGGAAAGCAATCCTGATGCATAAGTGGCTTGTCTCTTTCACCTTTCTTAATTTTCAAGGACGACGTTTGGTTATTGTTAATGCCCTTTGAGACAATATTGGATAGCCTTTGAGGATAAACCATTTGCCTTTGTATGAGTTCTTTCTCAATATCTGTTGCATGTGTTTTCCTGTGATTTGTAGAAAATATCAGAGAGCGTTATGGAACGCTGGTGGGCGAACTTCATATGATTGAATTGGAGAAAGGGCGTAGTGGCTTGGGACTAAGCCTTGCCGGAAACAAAGACCGGTCCCGGATGAGTGTCTTTATAGTAGGGATTGATCCCAATGGCGCTGCTGGAAAAGATGGCAGATTGCAGGTCGCCGATGAGCTGCTAGAGGTAAGCTCTTTTGGAAACCCAAGTCTGCTCCTGGTGAATTTAGAAGTAATGGGTAATGGGATTCTTCCTTTCAGAAAACCCGCCCAGGGCTCGCTTTGTGAGGGAGAAAACTATTATTTGACTAATAAACTAGATATATTGCAGGAAACTTGGCTTTCAACCAAATCTTTATAAGCAGGGTCCGTGGTCCCATCAACTTCATTTTAAGGTCATGACTGTGTGTGCCAGAAACAATTTTTGCCCCAAGGCAGTAATAAAGATCACACTTCTAAAACATTGTGTGTGTTTGCTACATTTTTATTAGAAGATTTAAGAGGCCAAATGACCAGTCACTCACCAGTAATTGAGGCCGACTCCCCGGGTTTTCTGGAACTTGTATCCTTAATGGCAGAAGTGATGCGAGTGGGAGAGTTCAAGGTTAAGGCTAAATAACAGAGAGCAACTGGTCCTTCCAAACACAATAAATTTTCAAACCGTAATTTTTAAAGTGTTTGGAGTTGTATCCGCATGTGTTTTGTGTATCCATCCCACTCGTCAAACCTCACCACCATGGCTCCGCCTTCAGCCGAGCGGTACACAGGCCTGGAAGGTGACACTTGACGTGTTACACTGACCAACCACCTAAGGGCAAAACAACAGCACTTTCCAAGGATAAAACCCTGCACCCAGGAAGAGTGGGGCTAGAGGGAGTAAGGAAGTGGAAATGGCAGGGAAATGCGGTGAGTGTGATTGCATTGTGGGTACTGTAATTGAGACAAGAAAACAAAATGTCCAGGAATGACTGAATCATTCACACTACCACTGAGTAGAAAACTGTTTTGCTCTTTAAACCTCCACTCAAATAGCATTTTTCTAAAAGCCAGTGTTGTATCTTAAGAAGGAAAATATGTAAGG